TATCTATGTGTGTGTGTGTGTGTATCTATGTGTGTGTGTGTATATGTGTGTGCAGTCACCGGTCCTTCCTTCGTAACCTGCTCCAGTTCTGTTGCTTCAACTCTTCAGCAAGTGATACCCCTGCCCTGTTGTTTTCTCTCCGCTTTGCCCCTCACCCCGGAACACAATGGCTAGCTCAGAAACTCAAGGGAATTGTTTTTAAATGTCATTTTAGTTTGTAGCTCTTGATGCCGTGAGCATCATCCTGAAGCAGCTGCAGCCCACAGAGAAGGTGCTTCTGCCATTCAACGCCTGCCTAAGCTGGCTGAAAAGGATCAAGTCCATTAAGCACACTGTGGAGCTGATCACATCCGACGACTACCAGATGAGACTTTACGATAACAAAGAGGAATTATTGAACAGCGTATTGTAAGTGTTACCCATCCCCCCAAAAAACCGTCAGTGTATTTTAAAGAATATAAACATTTTTAAAACGTGTAACAGTCAAAACTTTTCTGTGAAAACTTTTTTTTCCCCCAGACAGAAAGATGGGATTTCCTTTAAACAAATTTTTTTGCAGACAGTGTCAGATTTCCTCAGAATTTTCCAAATTTATATAGAAAAACTTGAAAACTAAAAATTTTCCAGCGAGTTTTCAGCTGGAAAATATGTTTTGATTTTTTGCATTATTTTTTTTTTTACCAAAAACTTCAGTTACTGGAAAATATGTGGGGTTTGTTTTCTCAATGAAAAGTCATAATTTTCCAAGGGGAAAATAAAACCCCTACATGTTCCAATCAACTCTCTGTTAGATGGTGACTCAGTGTTTGCTGTGATCCCATTAGTGGCTGGTCTACATAGCAAATAAAAGCCTGTGACAGACAAAAAAAGCCCATGGCTGAATTTAGGCTGGAAATGAGAAGAAGGTTTCTAACCATCAGAGGCAGGGAGGGTCTGGAAGAGCCTCCAATAGGAGTGGGAGGGGAGGGGACGGGATGGGGGGGGGCACATACCCTAACTGGTTTGAAGATGAAGCTTGATACGTTTATGAACAGGATTATCTGACGGGGTTGCCAGTGATAGCAGGGACTGGACTGCACGGCCCAAGTCGTCCCTTCCAGTCCTACATTCCTATTAAACCCCAGATATTAGTCCTGCCATGGCCCTTTCTTCAGAGCTTGTTCTAGCCACAAAGATCGAGCAAATCCACTTAGAAACCTTGGGCCATATTCCCACCGAGAGTTTCCAAGCTTTACGCAGACAGCAGAGGACAGGACAAAGGTTTTTTCCCCTTTGATTTCCCCATTGTATCAGCTTCCCCTTCATTCTGTAAACTGCTCTGAGCAGCGGGTAAGGGGTGTCCCTGATTGCAAGTCATCACACCTAGCCTGAGGAGATTGTGAGCTGAAGGAGCTGTTTACATGTTCAGTTCCTATATCCATAAGAACATAAGAACGGCCATACTGGGTCAGACCAAAGGTCCATCAAGCCCAGTGTCCTGTCCTCTGACAGTGGCCAATGGCAGGTGCCCCAAAGGGAATGAACAGACAGGTAATCATGTAGTGATCCATCCCCTGTCACCCAATCCCAGCTTCTGGCAAATAGAGGCTAGGGACAGCATTCCTGCCCATCCTAGCTAATAGCCATTGATGGACCTATCTTCCATGAAGCTATCTAGCTCCCTTTTGAACCCCGTTATAGTATTGGCCTTCACAACATCCCCTGGCAAGGAGTTCCAGAGGTTGACAGTGAGTTGCATGAAAAAATACTTTCTTGTGTTTATTTTAAACCTGCTACCTATTGATTTCCTTTGGTGGTCCCTTGTTCTTGTATTATGAGAAGGAGTAAATAACACTTCCTTATTTACTTTCTCTATACCACTCATGATTTTATAGACCTCTATGATATCCCCCCTTAGTTGTCTCTTTTCCAATCTGAAAAGTCCCGGTCTTATTAATCTCTCCTCATATGGAAGCCGTTCCATACCCCTAATCATTTTTGTTGCGCTTTTCTGAACCTTTTCCAATTCCAATATATCATTTTTGAGATGGGGCGACCACAACTGCATGCAGTATTCAAGGTGTGGGCGTACCATGGATTTATATAGAGGCAATATGATATTTTCTGTCTTATTATCTATCCCTTTCTTGATGATTCCCAACATTCTGTTTGCTTTTTTGACTGCCGCTGCACATTGAGTGGATGATTTCAGAGAACTATCCACAATGACTCCAAGATCTCTTTCTTGGGTGGTAACAGCTAATTTAGACCCCATCATTGTATATGTATAGTTAGGATTATGTTTTCCAATGTGCATTACTTTGCATTTATCAACATTAAATTTAATCTGCCATTTTGTTGCCCAGTCACCCAGTTTTGTGAGATCCTTTTGCAGCTCTTCGCAGTCTGCCTGGGACTTTACTATCTTGAGTAGTTTTGTATCATCTGCAAATTTTGCCACCTCACTGTTTACCCCTTTTTCCAGTTCGTTTATGAATATGTTAAATAGGACTGGGCCCAGTATTCAGGTGGTTGGTTTTGTCCAAAAATGTGGGGAAGAATTATTTTTCCCAGCAGACAAGGTGCAGCTTCTCGCAGTGAGGCAGTTCTGTCTCTTTTTCAGACACCAATGGAATTGCACGAACATCGTCTACCTGCTCATCGATCACCTGCTACACGATGAAACCAATGTGGATGAGAAGCTGCTAAAGCTCGTTGTGAAGCAGTTTATCTTCCTCTGGAATGTAGGTGTATAAAATAGCGCCCCACTGCCCCCTTTGCAGAGTTGGGAAGGAGGACCGCTGGAAGACATTTTTCATCCAAAACTTGTTTTGGAGAAAAATGCAGATTTGACAATACCAAAATGCTTCCTGAATACGTGTTGGTTTTGCCAAATTGTTTTGTTAGGCTCTGATAGAGGCCTCCCTACGGGATGGGGGAGCAGGCAGATACCAGACACAGTGTTGGTATATAATACTCTAAATATTCCAGTCCATCCGTTGCATCATCAGCTCTTCATTTGTTTATAAGCCTTGTACCCATAACTCCAGGAAAATGGTTCCTGGCAAGCGGCCATAATCCAAGACATTCCATTTCCTCTTATGTGTAGCCCAGTGGGTCAGCGTACCTGTTTTGGATGTGGCAAAGTTGTTTTTGCACAGACAATCCTTGACCACTCATAACCTTAAATCCTTGCTTCAGTTGCCAACACGCAACTCACGTACTCATGTCAAGCACACAGCATTTATACTAGGCCCAAATGGCTTATAGCATTTTACAACATATACTATTATATATCCCAACAGTTTCCGTCAGAAAAAAGCTACAAAGAAAAAAAAATTAGGGGAAAAAATCAAAACATTTCCATTTTTTGGTTCAAAATGACTTTTCCATTTCAAAATTTCCTTTAATTTTACTTTTTCATACAATTTTTAAAAATTAAAAATGGTTGGAATCAAAACAAAATGTTTCGGCTTTTTCCAAAATGTTTTGTTCGATTCTAAACAAATTTGACATGAAGCTAGTTTTTCCCCCCATTTTGTTTTGGAATTGTCAGTGAACCGAAAAATCCATTATTCACCCAGCTCTAGAGAGGATTCCTGTCCTCAGAGGATTCAACCACCCCCATCCTTCACCCACATGAGACATGGGATCCCCATAGGGTGACCAGATATCCCGATTTTATCGGGACTGTCCCGATATTTGCTTCTTTGTCCTGCGTCCCGACCAATGTTTGGTCGGGACACTGGACAAACAAGAAATTTTGCCCTCCTGGAGGGACTCTCACCCCCCCACCCCACCCCGGCTCCAACCCCTCCTTCCCCCATTGGCTCCCTCCCCAAATCCCCGCCCTGGCCCCGCCTCTTCCCCCACCATGCGGCATTCCTCCTCCCTCCCAGGCTTGCGCCGCCATGCAGCTGCAAGCCTGGAGGGAGGGGGTGGTGGCGGCGCCTGGATCCTGGAGCTGGTGAGTCAGCTCCGGCACCCAGGCACCGAGCGGGCGGGCAAAGGGGGGCTGGCAAGGGAGGGAGACGGGGGGGCTCAGCTCTGAGCTCCCTGCCGCGCCAGAGGGCTCCTGCCTGGCCCCCGGGCTGCTGCACACGGGGGCCCGGGGCCGGGAGTGCAGCCTAGAGGCTGCTCTAGGCCTGCAGCCCGCGGGGCAGCGCGGTGGGTCCGGGTGGGGGCAGCGCGGAGCGGGCAGGTTCCGGGTGGGTGGCGCGGGGGCGTGGGCCGAATCCCCGCTGCTGCCGGGGAGCCCCGCACCTCTCCCACTCGGCTGCGCTCCAGCGGCTCCTTCCCGGCGGGAGGGAGACTAGGCGTGGGGGACGCACACCGCATGTGCCCGGGGCAGCGGGAGGCGCGTCCCGCCGGGAAGGAGCCGCAGCCACGAGCGGGAGGGAGAGGCGCGGGACTCCCCGGCAGCAGCGGGGATTCGGCCCGCGCCGCCCACCCGGCCCCTGCCTGCTCCGCGCTGCCCCCGCCCGGACCCACCACGCACCGTATGTGCCTGGGGCGGGCCGGGGGGCGGGAGGCTCCGCGGGGAGGGCAGCGCGCGTGGCTGGGGCCTGCTAATGCCCCTGGCCCCTTTGAAACTCCTTTTTTTTTTTTGCTCCGCCCTTTTTTTTTTCCTTTGCCCGCCCCCCCCTTCCTCCCCGCGTCCCGATATTTATATCTCTGATCTGGTCACCCTAGGTCCCCACAAGAGATCAGGAGGTAGCCTGCAGGTGACCCAAGCTGCACTGACCCTGTACAGCTCCCCTACATACCGTCTCCTGCCCCTGTTACACAGTGATACTGCACCCGGGCCCCCTGCAATCCTTATCCCAGAATTAGAGCCTTACACAGGACAGAAAATCTGTTTGGCAAAGGATAAGGAGATTTGGAAATTTGGCTTCATTCCAAATTGGAACAAAAACTGAAAATTCCAAAATTTCCACAAAGAAAAATTGGGGGGAAACAATTAGTTTTGGGTTATATAAATGTTTTGATTCTTAATATTTTGGTATTAGATTATACAAAATATGTGGGTATTGTAGTGTAAAATACAATTTCCATGTTTCAGGGTTTTTGTTTTTTCGACAAAAAACAAGTTTTTGCAGGAACACAGACAACATCCATTAAAGTTTTTGTTAGTCAATAACCCAGTTTTCTGTCAACAACACGTTTTGACCAGCCTTTCTCAGCTGGTGAGCCCAGCGATGGATATGTGTGCGTAACATCAGCCACACAAGTTTTCAAAGTTTGGCCCCAGGTCTTTCTGAAAACCTCTGTAACCTTAATTCACCCCCCCTGTGCTTCTGCATTATGATACAGTCTTTAATTACATGATCACATGCTAGGTGTTCTGTCAGACTCCAGCCTCATTCAGTGCACAGGATGAACAGTGAATGAGGGAGAATGTTTAAGGGTGAGGGCTGAGACTCAGGAGACTTGGGATCTAATCTGGGCTCTGCCCCAGACTTCCTATGTGGTGTTGTACAAGACTATCAGAATGCATGCCCTAAAGGGGCAGAGTTAAGGTTGAATGGGGAACCTTGATGCTGGCATAGCTTAACTTTTGAGTGCTTGCTTTTGCAAATGTAACTTTTTTAACACTTCTTTTGTCACTTAGAATGTAATGACATTCACTTGCTTTATTTTCTGTAGCTACTGTACAAAATTGAAGACCATAAACCAGCAAAGATTTTTGAAGTTGTGACAAAAGTGCTGAAGAGATGCAGCAACAATGCTGCTACTGTCTACCTTGTGTAAGTCGAGCAAACAAGCAAAAAAGACCATTGTGGGTAAATTTTCAGCAAGAGCATTTTTAGCAGGCAATGTGTCTATTAATTATGCTTGCAAGTTAGTTTATTTCCTGACAATATTTTTATTTCCATGTACCATGTAACTCACCATTCAGTGCTGTACCCACACATATGGAAAACATTTTGCATTATGTACCATGGGTGTGAACAATTCCACCTCCCCTGAGCGCCCCCTTGTGGCTGGGCACCTTCACACCAGGGCTAATGTCCCACTTCTCCTCTCGGGCCCCTTAGGCCTCCCCAACAGGTTCTCTTGCCTCAAAAATACTCCTCCTTGGGGCCAACTTATTACAAAAATCTAGTGCAAAGAACCTAGAACAAGAGTCCCAAAACATTGTCCATTTATAACCCGCAGCACATATAGTCCTTAAAATCACAAGACAGCAGCAGTGTAGCACATACCACTCTCTGGCATCTTCCACCACACCACGGCTCTTTGTCGGTCCTCTCCTGTCCTTCTCCCAGGAAAACCACCCCAGCCCTTCCAGCTGGGGTGCAACCCTACTCTTCCCAGAGGCAAGGCCCAGCCCCACTACCCCAGCCTCCCTTCTGGGTGATCGTCCAGGGCCACCCAGAGGGGGGGGCAAGTGGGGCAATTTGCCCTGGGCCCCGCAGGGGCCCCCACGAGAGTTTTTCGGGGCCCCTGGAGTGGGGTCCTTCACTCGCTCTGGGGGCCCCAGAAAACTCTCGCAGGGCCCGGGCCCCCGGAGCTTCTTCCGCTCCGGGTCTTCGGCAGCAATTCGGCGGCGTGGGGTCCTTCCGCTCCGGGACCCGCCACCGAAGTGCTGGGTCTTTGGTGGAAATTCGGCGGCGGGGGGCCCCCGCCGCCGAAGACCCCAGGCCCCCTGAATCCTCTGGGCAGCCCTGCGATTGTCCTCACCAGGGAACATGCATCACTCCTCCTGTTACACTAACGTTTCCCAGTTCTTCTGGGTGGTGATGTCAGCGGGTAATCCCCTCTGCTGCTCCCCTTGCCTTCAACCCTTCCTGGCCCTGGCTCTTTGGCTTGGGGAGGTCAGCCAGCGAACCCTTCCACTGCTCCTCTGCCTTCAGCCTTTCCCCAGGAACCTCCTGCAGCCTTCTTCAGGGACGTCCTCCCTCTCTGATGCTCCCTGATCCTATATAGCCCCAGGTGCTGCTCTGCCTTTTAATTGGCCAAACTGAAAGCACCTGTTCTGGCAGAGGGGAGCAGGACCTGCTTTATTTAAAGAAGCCAGACATCCTATGGCAATCGGACTTATGTATATTGCCATGGCTCTTGGGCCCAGCTATGCAAGGCTTTATTATTTATTTACTCTGTAAGGCACAAGGCAGCGGAGAATCAGACCCCGTGAATTGCATCTTGCTCTCGTGGTGTCTTTCAGGAAGGGCGTGAACGAGTGCAAAAGCTGCCAGAACGAGATCACTGACCCGGCTGAGCTGCCCTGCGGTCACATTTTCTGCACTCAGTGCATCCGGGAGTGGAACATCAGGCAGTGCAAGATCTGCAAGGAGAGCGTCCCCGAGGATTACGTGCCCACCGCCTCCCAGATCACCAGGTATTGCACAGTCGCCTGACTCTGTGATTTGGGAGACTTGTTTAGCGGTAATATTCCCACTAATCTCCGTTACTGACAGCGTGGCCAGAATGATTGCTTTTCTTCCACACCCCTCCACTACATTGCTGTGAGCTCCCTCTCCCAGACTGTTACCGGACATAGCTCCTTGTTCTGCTGAAGGATTTGCTGAGATAGGTCTGTCCGTGAACAATGACTTTAATGGGACTTTGTGCATCCAGAGTCTGCACATACTGGTCCCTTTTCAGGACTGGGGCCCAGGATTGTAAATATCTGAAGTTGCAGATTATAAAGGGGGGCTCTGGTGACAAAAGGGGACTGAAAGCGGGTGCATCTCCCCAGATAGAGCTGATGTAGAGTAGCATTTTCCAGTGTGGCTTTAGGATTTAGGAACCTAAGTCCCATTAAAAATCATGCTTTTGAAAATGGTATCTGTGCATAGGCACTGACTCTGTGGGTGCTCCGGGGCTCAAGCACCGACAGAAAAAAATTGGGGGTGCTCGGCACCCATGGGGCTGGCCATGGATCAGCTGTTCGGTGGCCCCTGGGGCTGGCCGCGGCTTCAGTGGTCCCCGCTGCTTGCTCCTCTTCACCCTCAACCCTCGTCACTCACCCTTAAGGCAGGAGGGGGCAGAAAGGACCAAGCATCAGGCAAGAGGTGCTCGGCGGTGGGGGTGGAGAGGAGTGAGTGGTGGGCAGGTTGGTGGAGCCTTGGGGAGGGGGCAGAGAGGAGCGAGCAGGGGGAGCCTTAGGGGAGGGGGTGAAGAGGAGCGAGCGGCAGCAGGGTTGAGGGGGAGCCTCGGGGGCGGGGGCAGAGGCAGAGAAGAGGGAGTGGGAGGTGCTCAGGGGGCAGGAAGAGGCAGAGTGGGGGCGGGGCCTCAGGAGAGGGCAGAGTAGGGGAGGAGCCTGGGGGGGGCAGAGTGGGGGTGAGACACCCGTTGTCAAAAACAAAAGTCAGCACCTGTGTATCTGTGGCCAGTTCTGTGTCAAGCCTGGCCTTGCAAGTGGTGCAGAGGCCATGTATGGGGGACAGGCGACTGGCTGCAGAACATCCAGCCCTTAGCGTCATAGCCAGCTGATCCGTTCATAGGCAGCCCTAAGCTATGCTGGAGACCCAAAGGCCACTAGCTGGTCCCAGGTTCAGAAAGCTGCAAGTGACCCCTCTGTGCTCTCCATCTTACCTTCACCCAGTGATTACAGCACGCGTTGGAGGTTTGAGCCCAGGGCTCCAGTGTTAGGGGTCAGCTTTTTCTGATTTTAGGTAATTATTTTTAGATACATTTTTAGGAGCCATAAATGATTTTTTTAAGCGTTTTTCTGGAATTAGGTCATTATGGCAGCTGTCACCAGGTAGCGCTGTTACGCTGTTTTTTCACAGCAGGCGAGCAGGTTTCAATTTTAGGGAAGACAATGTGTGTTGTTATTTTGTGGTAATGCAGGGGGAGTTGTGTGAGCAGCAGGAGAATTTGCTGTCTGCCTTGGGCTCTTGTTTAGAGCGGACTGTCTCCCTGGGGACTGGGTGATTGCAGTGGCGTAGCCAGCTTCTAAGAGGAGGGGGAGCAAACATAAAAAAGGCGCCCCCCCTCGGCTCCTCCTCTGGCCACGCCCCCTTGGCTCCTCCTCCGGCCGCCCCGCCCCTCCCCCACATGGCTCCTCCGGCCGTGCCGTGCCACCCATGTGGCCTCCGGCCGCAGCCGCCATTCTGCGCCCCCCCCGCTCCTCCGGCTGCGCCCGCCGCCCCCCCGCAAGTGCCTAAGAGCCCCCCTCTCAGCCGCTGCTGGGTGGCAAACCCCACTCCAGAAAGATTTCCCTTGAATTCATCATTCACAAAAACAACAGTGCCTTTTCCACGCCTTCCCGTCTCCATTGCACTCCGGAGAGCACGGGGAGCAACTGACTGGGACACACCGAGCCAGCCACCACCACCAGGGGCTGCCTGGCTTTCTGCACCCCCTGCGCAGAAACACTAGTTGATTTCCCCTTGGCAAAGACAAAGTGTAACCAGCCTGTGCCCAGCCCCGTGCGCTGCTCGCGGAGCGCTCTCTGTCTCCCAAAGAGTTGGCAAGTCTGTCCACCCTATCGGGAACGTGGGGCTGGCCCCACGCCTCTCCGGTGCAGCGCCTCTCACCTCCTTGAGTTCCTTGGCCACGTCTTTCAGGTCCCCCAGGACTAATTCCAAATCCTCCACGATGATCTTGATCTGTTCCTTCACCTTGGCTTTGGAGGCTGCGGGTGGCCCCTCGGGTGGCGAGGAGAAGGCGGGGGTCCCCTTGGACTTGGCTGACATTCTTGGGGGAGCGATGTGTGGGGAGGGGGTATGCAGGTCAGGAGAGCTGTGTAACCAGCGGGTGCCCGGCCCCGTCCCTCAGGCTCCCGGAGCTGCTTCAGCCGCTGTCTTCCTCCCCGCACATTTTGGGCTCAGGGCTCCGCCCCGCTCCGCTCTCCGCCGGGTGGCTGCACCGCACTGCTGCCATCAACTCCCTGGGATCTGCACTGAGAGCGCCCAGGCTGCAGACGGGCGGGCGGTGCGCCTGCGCCTGGCTCCCTCCCTCCCGTAGGCACACGCACACGCACAGGGCATGCCGCTCACTGAGCCTGCCGGTCGCCATGCTACGCCCCCCCGCTCCTCCGGCCGTGCCCGCCACCTCTCCATGGCTGCCGGCCGCGCTGCGGGTCGCCAGCCTGCACCCCCCTCGCTCCTCCGGCCGCGGCTGCCGGGCCGCATGCCGCGCGCCCCGTCCAGCTCCTCCGGCCGCTTTTGGAAAGGCGGGGGAAGCGGCTGCTTCTCCTGCACCCCGCTAGCTACGCTACTGGGTGATTGGCTTTGGGCTGACATTCCTGGGAGAAGGGCTGAAATTAGTGATAGAATTTGGCAACATTAACTCCCGGTGAATAAAGTTGTTTTGCCCAGAATGTGGAATAATTCATATCGGGCAGAAATTATTATTGACTTTACAGGATCAAGTCTACCCTCAGTACACACTCAAGTCCTCTTAACTTAGGCCTGGTCTACACTGGGGAGGAGGGGAGGGGGGCGGAGGAAACGATCTAAGTTACGCAACTTCAGGTACGTAAATAACATAGCTGAAGTCGACGTACTTAGATCGATTTATCGTGGTGTCTTCACCGCGGTGAGTCGACTGCTGCCGTTCCCCCATCGACTCTGCCTGCACCTCTCGCGGCGCTGGAGTACAGGAGTTGACGGGAGAGCGCTTGGGGGTCGATTTATCGTGTCTAGACTAGACAGGATAAATCGACCCTCGCTGGATCGATCGCTGCCCACTGATCCGGCGGGTAGTGAAGACATACCCTTAGCAAGAGTAGTGGAGCTATGTGCATGTTTCAGCACAGAGAGATTTATAGATTCATAGATTTTTAAGGCCAGAAGGGACCATTAGGTCATGAGGCCAGAGAATCTCACCCAGTGATGTCTACATCATGCCCATCACTTTGGCCTGAGCTATAGCAGATCTTTTAGAAACATATTCCGTCTTGATTTAAAGATTTCAGATGATGGCAAAACCGCCACTTCCCTTGGTAACTTGTTCCAATGGTTATTCACCCTCACTGTTAATTTTTTTTGCCTTTTTTTTTCCAATCTCAATATATTTAACTTCAGCTTCCAGCCATTCTGATTTTGTCTGCTACCTTGTATATTAAAATAGTGACATTTAAAAAAAATAATCTTTTTCTCGCCCTAGGGAGGCAGTTGCAAGTCACAACAAATTCAGGAGGAAGTGCAACTCGTTCTTTGTGGAGTTTGTCAGTAGTTACTGTTTTGGGGACAAAATCCCACCATCTGCAGAGATCATCGAACAACTGATTAAGTTCGTGGCTTGCAAACCTTCTAACTCAGAACATCAAGAGATTAGAAAGGGTGAGTGATGTGTGTAATACAGGAACGGCTCGATCCCGCCAATCCCAGTTGTTCAGATATCCTGAGTCAGGCCCCAGAACTCATGAGAGTGACTTTAAAATCATGAGATAAAAACTCAAGCAATAAATATGAGGTTCTTTTTATTTGCCTTCTAGTGTTGTAGCTTTTAGGGCAATTCACACCAGCTGGGGATCTGACCCATTGACTCCAGTGTAGCTATGGCTGGTTCACACCAGTTGGGGATCTGGTCTCGTGATCAGAAGAAAAAAAAAAAGTAATCCTTTCTACTCTTTGGTTTAAGTGTACAAACCAACGAGTGACTTGTCGCCCTTTGAAGAATGCATGGATCCGAGTCCTACTGTCAAGTCCTCCCTTTTGAAAATGTTGCTCCGATGCAGGTTGGTTCTAGTGCTTCTAGTGGCTATATTAACTATATTTCACTCACAGATCCACATTGGGTCTATTCAGTTTTATAACTTACATCCATTTCCTCCTAGACTAGACGATGTGAAGGAACACCTGGAAGACTATCTCTCCAGGATGGAGGAAGTATTATCATTAAATCAAAGCAGTCGCAATGATTTCTATTTCATGGTAGTGTGCTGCTTTGAGGTGAGTCCCATGAAGAGTCTGTGGATAAATGTAGACATTTTATTACATCCATAATAACAATATTAAAAGAATAGTTAAGGTTGCAAAGTCAAGTACTCCAATGTTAGGAAATGCTAAAATTAAGGTGACCTGGGCAGTCTTCACTTGTTGTGCTCTGGCATATGCATTACGATACAGTCTGAAATTACATAACCAGATACTATTTTTTCCACAGAATCCCTGCCTCATTCAGTATATGAAGTTACTCAATATTTATTTATGTATTTATATTATTGTAGCACTTAGGAATACTAGTCATGGGCCATACCCCCCATTGTGCTAGGTGCTGTACAAACTTGTGTGACCCCCGCCTTATTCTCTGCACACCACCCAGACCCTGCACCGAATACAGAAGTATTAATTCTATGGTGCTCTTGCTAGAGTATCAGAGTGCCTCACAAACATTAATGAATTCATCTTCACAATGCCCCTGTGAGATTAGGTGATATTATTATGCCCATTTTACAGCTGTTGCACTGAGACACAGAGATTACTGCCAAATTGTCAGAAGTCTCCACTAATTTTGGGTGCCCAACTTGAGATCCCCAGGGCCTGACAAGCAGAGTACTTAGCATTTTTAAAGCATTTTATGTGTTCATAGCACAGCTCCCGTTGACCTCAGCTGCAGCTGTGAATACTCAGCACTTCTACAAGTCAGACCCAGGTATCTCACGTTGGGCACCCAGAAAAGGAGAAACACACAATTAATGGCCAGTTCTCCCATTTTCAGAAATAACTTTGGTACTTAGGAGCCTAAATCTCACTGACTTTCAATGAGACTTAGGGGAAAATTTTCAACAGTGCCCAAGTCACGTAGGAGTCTAAGTCCCATAGATGTTCAGGGACTTTCAGCACCTAAATCACTTTGGCACTTTTGAAAATTTTACCTGTAGGCTCATAGAAGCTGGGAAGCAGGGAGAAGGGCAGGAGCAGAGAGGGGCAGAAGATGTGGGGGGATAGAAACCAAGGTGGGGAGAAGTGGACGGGGGAGAGAGACAGGAACTCTTACCCCCAGGCTGTTATTTTTAATCAGTGGCTCGGTTTCAAAATGACCAGAACAGTTTTATTGTTTGTAGCCTTTAAGGTTAACGTCTGCTGTGTGGTGTGGGGAGAAGGGAAGAGTTGAGTCATTAAAAAAAACCTGCCCAACCAACTGCATCCCCTTTACACAGGGGTACTGTCTGTTCACTACTGTACATTTTTTAAAATTCTCTCTCTCGAACAGGATTTTATGTATTCCTCCTTTCAAGAAGACGCCAGCCAGAATTCGGAGCACGTGCTCTCCACTGCAGATCTGTCTGCTCCCCGCTCTGCCGCCGTCACCAGCATTGAAGACCTGCAGTTCATTGCTAAGCTCCGACTCGCCATCGGTAACGTCGCAGCTGTGCTTGGCAGAGAGCTGCCAAGTGGTGAGTGGAGTTTCTAACCATTTTCCAGTCATGCTGGACATCAGGGGAGATTGGTTAGAGAACCAGTCAGCTCCGTGGATGTTGTTTGCTTTAAGGGTTGTGTTTGTCCAGAGTAATTTCCAGAGCTGAGCAAAATATTTTCAGCTGAACAGTTTTCCATTCGAAAATGCTGTCCCTTCCGAACTGAAATGTTTTGTGGGAACGCATCGATTTTGATGAAATTTTCAACAGAAAAGTTTTGAAACATTTTGAAATTGAAATGGAGCCTTTTATTTGATATTGACTTTTTCATTGTTTCATTTTGACTTTTTGTTTTAACTTTATCATTTCAGTTCAATTTTCTCATTTTGACTTTCATATATTATATATGATATGATCAAAATGAAATGTTTTGACATTATCAAACCTTTCATTTCAATAGGGTTGTTTCTATGTGTCACCCTTCTGCCAGGTGGACTTGGCAGTAACAAGGGCCAGGTTCAGTATCTAGCGGTTCCTTTTGATAATACAACACAGAACCAGTTCAAGCCCCCACCCAGTATCCTAGAAAAATTACACACCACCCCTGGGAGCCTCCAACAGGCAATGCTTCCCCCTCGCAAGCACTGAGTCTGTGTATGGAAAAGAAAACTTTTAGTAAAAGGGGAAAGGAACCCAGCATTAATTTGGGGAAACACCACAAGCCTGATTCAAAAACAGATGGCCATGAACAAACACCCACACCAGATTACACCGGGAAGTGTCCTTTTCCTCAGTCTCTCACCTTGTGGTGTGAAAGTCTGACAAACAAATGTCCCTTTAACACACCACTTTCCTGTCCCGCCACCGCACCCCACTCACAGTTGTTGTCCTTGGTCAGTGAAGACCCAGAGTTTAGAGGTGCATCAGTGTGAGTTCACCTCCCACCCAGGGGGTGAAAGACACCCAGCAATGCCTCAGCTGCCACTCCACCGTGGGCCACACGCTCCACCACTGCTCGCTGTGCCATTAGCCACTTTATCGGCCACTTGCTCTGCTGCCACTCGCTCCACCAGCTCACTCCGCTGTCCGTCGCTCTGGCAGCCGCTCACTCCTGTGTCAGCTGCTCTGACATCGCTCATGCCACCACTGCCCTCTAGTGCAAGCTCTGGAATGTCTTGAGGTCCCATTACTTAACACAGCTCTCAGTGATTTCAGCTGTTACTGGGGGAGCCTCATTGCTAGTGCAGGCTGGGCAGTCACTTTTACCAGAGACGCTGTCCCATAGCATCTCCAATGCTTGGACCTGGTTATCAGTGATTTCAGCTCTAGTGATCCAAAACAAAAGACTCTCAACTGAATCGTAATCAGCTGTGTCATTAAACAGTGGGGAGGGGGAAGGACAAATGGTGTCTAGAACTCTTAGGCAGAGCTCACACCACCATGTACAGACACCCATCCTCACCCTCTCATTTCTCCACTGGGCTTCAGTGCTCCTACCCTCTGCTTAGCGAGTGGAGTTCAGTTGAGGTTGAGCCTCTCAGTCAGGGTATGCCAAGCACAGATCTGCTGCCCTCTATTCACACAACAAGGATAATAAAACTTTATCACTCCTGCACCCAATACCAAAGTGATTTGCAATCCAACACCAGCTAAAAGTGATCATTTGGGCAAAGCGGCTCCATCATGCTGCGCACCTAGGCAGAGTGGGCAGGTCTATGCAAACTAGGTCGGCTCCTGATATCTTCTCCCCCAGCTCACCACTAGATGTCAGGGGAGAGCTCATTCAGACTCTGCTTACAGCTCTTTCTGAATCGGAATATTTCATACATGAAATATTTCAAGATTTTGACTTTTCCTCATCATTTGGGACCAACACAAATTTAGAAATGTCAGAATTTCCCACAGAACAGAAATTCCATTTTCCAGCCAGCTCTGATCATTACTGGAAAATACAACTTTAAAGGACAAGATGTACAAAAGTGTGTGATACCTACAGAAACAAATGTCCCACTTCTGTATGGACAGCACATTTACCCAGCTGACTTTAGTGAAATGATCTTTCCCCTAAATTTCACTTGGTATGAGGTCACCAAATTAAAAGAGACAGGCTAAAAGCTTCTTTAAATGAGTTTTTAAAGTATTTAAGTCAAGAATTTAAGTCTCTTTCTCAAAGCTCTGCTCTAGCTCAGCCAGGAATTATTGGGCCAGATGCAGGAATCATTGGGGGAGATTCTCTGGCCTGGGTTATTCATAGATTCCCAAATCAGAAGGTATTATTGTGATCATCTATTACAGCACAAGCCACAGAACTTCCCCCAAATAATTCCTAGAGCAGCACTTTTTATAAAAACATCCAATCTTGATTTACAAGATTATGTAGGAGGCTGGACTGGGTGAATACATTGGGCCCTTTTGACCTGAAAATCTGAGACTCTAAAAATGTCTGACCTCTCTGAATGCTGTAGGCTCTGCCAGACCAAACTCACTGTTGCCACAAAATTAATGGTGGCCACATTTAGTCCTACAGGATGAATTTTATCCATGAAGCAGTTTTCACTGGGAGGTGGCATTGCATTTTATATCTGTAAATCTTCACTTCAGAAGGGTTAATGGAAGGACTGTTCCTTCTGGTTCAGATGAAGTGTATTCAAATAGGGTCTTTCTTGACTTTCTCCTTTTTCCCCTTTTATCTTAAATACTATGGTAACTTTACTGCAGGAATTTCATTGCGTATGAGGTTTGAACAGCTGTGAAGCTAGGCAGCAATACTGCATTGCTTTGAGGCTAATACTGAACTCTTCTTGGCAGCTGCAGACCAGAATACATGGACCAGTGCTGAAACAGCAGAGAAACAGTCCCAACTTGTGAATTCCATGAAAAATCTGGTTGAAAAGGCCCAAACACCTTGGCCTCAAATATTCCTTATTAGAAATCTTTGTAATTTCTATGGGCTGAACATAATGCAGAAGATTCTTCAGCAAGAGTCGTGGATTTTACCCAGAGGAATTGAGACTTCACAGGTAAGTGGCTTCCAAAGGCGACAGAATTTTATGCTTACAGAAACTGTATGAATAGTTTGCATCTCCTTTCTACAGGATGGTTAATTCAAGAGACCTGTTTTCACCTGAAAGCCAGGGCCATCCCTAGGGGGGTTGCAGGGCCTGGGACAACCCCCCACCCCCATGACTCTTCCTGCCCCTGCACCGCCTCTTCCCACACCAACTCTGCTTCCACTCCACCCCTTCCTGCCCCGCCCCCATTCTGCCCCTTCCCCCAAACTCCTGCCCCCACCCTGCCTCTTCCTGCTCCCTCCCCCGTTCTTCCCCTTCCCCCAAGGCCCCGCCCCACTTCTCCCGAGCAATGCCGGGAGCCAGCGAGGCAGAGCGAAGCAGGGCCAGTCCCGCTGCCGCCAGCCTCTGCCCTTCCCAGGCCCCATGTCTCCCTGAAGTGCAGGACCCCCCAAAGTACAGGGCCCGGGGCAACTGCCCCGAACCGTCCAATGGCTCTGCTGAAAGCAGTTTTGTTCTTGATAAGCAAAAAGTGCTGCAAACCACAGAATTGGTAAAACATGACCTTTGGGCTTTTGTGTGTTGTTTTCAAAATGATTTTGGTATTTCGATTGAGAGCTCTTTGTGGCAGGGACTGTCTCTCAGTACATGGGTGCAGCGCCTTGCGCAATGGGGCTCTGATCTTAGTTACTGTGGGCAGGTTTACACTTAAAGTACTGCACTGGCACAGCTGCCCCGCTGTAGCGAATTAATGAAGATGCTCTACGCTGACAGGAGAGAGCTCTCCTGTTGGTGTAGTTAATCCAGCTCCCTGACAGGCGGTAGCTACATCTGCAGGTGAAGTTCTCCCGCTCACTGATATAGCAGTATCTACACGGTGGGTTAGGTTGGTATAACTACATCTCTCAGGGAGGACTGTTGTCAGTCACTTTGTGTCTGTGCAGTTCCTGGCACTATGGGCCTCAATCAAGATTGTGACTTCTAGACACTGCCATAATACAAATAATAAAACAATACATAAAATAAGAATAATAATTAATAATAAAATACATGAAAAATATTTTCATTAACCTTCAAATGTAACTGGTCTGATAGGATTCTTTAGCGGCCTCTTGCTATAAAATGATGTGCCTTAAATAATACATAGACAGCTTCTTTATAACAAAAGTATAAATATTTTTATTTCCTTAGGACATGAAAATCAGCTCCAATACACCCTTGATGCTTGTGACGCTAGACAGAGCAAGAGGCCTCATTAAAAACACAGACTCCGAAGAAGCTAAGCAAATAACAGTGAGTGTCTGTTTTCTATTTTAATGGAACATGGTTTGGTTTGTGATTCTGTACAAGTGAAATTCACCCCTGTGCAGAGAGCCAGCACAATTGACACCAGCTAAGGATCTGCCGCATAGGACCTGAATCAGAGACTCAGAGAACTAGAAGGGACCTCAAGAGGCCATCAAGTCCAGCCCCCTCCACTCATGGCAGGACCATGCACCATCTAGACCATCCCTGACAGGTGTCTGTCAAACCTGCTCTTAAAAATCTCCAGTGATGGAGATTCCACAACCTCCCTAGGTAATTTATTCCAGTACCTAACCACCCTGACAGTTAGGAAGTTTTCCCTAATGTCCAACTTAAACCTCCCTTGCTGCAATTTAAGCCCTTTGCTTCTTGACCTATCCTCAGAGGTTAAGAAAAGCAATTTTTCTTCCTCCTCCTTGTAACAACCTTTTAGATACTTGAAAACTGTTGTCATGTCCCATCTCAGTCTTCTCTTCTCCAGACTAAACAAACCCAATTTTTTCAATCTTCTGTTACAGGTCATGTTTTCTAGACCTTTAATCATTTTTTTCGCTCTTCTCTGGACTCTCTCTAATTTGTCCACATCCTTCCTGAAATGTGGCGCCCAGAACTGGACACAATACTTCAGTTGAGGCCTAATCAGCGTGGAGTAGAGCGGAAGAATTACTTCTTGTGTCTTGCTTTCAGCACTCCTGCTAATGCAGCCCAGAAGGGGTTGCTTTTTTTGCAACAGCGTTACACTGTTGAATGACTCATATTTAGCTTGTGGTCCACTATGACCCCCAGATCCCTTTCCGCAGTACTCCTTCCTAGGCAGTCATTTCCCATTCTGTATGTGTGCAACTGATTGTTCCTTCCTAAGTGGAGTACTTTGCATTTGTCCTTACTGAATTTCATCCTATTTACCTCAGACCATTTCTCCAGTTTGTCCAGATCATTTTGAATTTTAATCCTATCCTCCAAAGCACTTGCAACCCCTCCCAGCTTGGTATCGTCCACAAACTTTATAAGCATACTCTCTATGCCATTATCTAAATCATTGATGAAGATATTGAACAGAACCGGACCCAAAACTGCTCTCTGTGGGACCCCACTCGTTATGCCCTTCCAGCATGACTGTGAACCACAGATAACTATTCTCTGGGAACGGTTTTCCAATCAGTTATGCACCCACCTTATAGTAGCTACATCTAGGTTGCATTTCCCTAGTTTTGTTTATGAGAAGGTCATGCGAGACAGTGTCAAAAGCCTTATTAAAGTCAAGATATACCAAAGCTATCAGGTTGGTTTGACACAATTTGGTTTTGACAAATCCATGCTGGCTGTTACTTATCATCTTATTATCTTTTAGATGTTTGCAAACTGATTGCTTAATTATTTGCTCCATTATCTTTCCGGGTACAGAAGTTAAGCTGACTGGTCTGTAATTCCCCGGGTTGTCCTTATTTCCCACTATATTTGCCCTTTTCCAATCTTCTGGAATCTCTCGCGTCTTCCATGACTTTTCAAAGATAATCGCTAATGGCTCAGATATCTACTCAGTCAGCTCCTTGAGTATTCTAGGACGCATTTCATCAGGCCCTGGTGACTAGAGGACATATAATTTGTCCAAGTAATTTTTAACTTGTTTTTTCCCTATTTTAGCCTCTTCTGATCCTACCTTAGTTTCACTGGCATTCACTATGTTAAGTGCCCAATCACCACCAACCTTCTTGGTGAAAACCGAAACAAAGAAGTCATTAAGCACCTCTGCCATTTCCACATTTTCTGTTGTTGTTTCCCTCCCACCATCACCCCGCATTGAGTAACCGGCCTACCCTGTCCTTGGTCTTCCTCTTGCTTCTGATAAATTTGTAGAATGTTTTGTTGTTAGCCTTTATGACTCTAGCTAGTTTGATCTCATTTTGTACCTGGTCTTTCTAATTTTGTCCCTACATACCTGTGTTATTTGTTTATATTCATCCTTTGTAATTTGACCTCGTTTCCACTTTTTGTAGGACTCTTTTATTTTTTATTTTTTAGATCATTGAAGATCTCCTGGTTAAGCCAGGGTGGTCTCTAGCCACACTTCCTGTCTTTCCTACGCAGTGGGATAGTTTGCTCTTGTGGGCAAAGGGACTTAATGGGACTTAACTGGTGCCTACTGTAATTATAGGGAATGTGCCTTTAAGGTCTGAGCTTCCCAGACAGACAGTCAGGTGGGGTGCTGTGAATCTCTTGTTATTACAGCCAGTTGGAAACAGAACAAAGCAGATCTCTTTGCAAGCTTCTATGCACTGAGCCATCACTGAACACCACGGTCTTGCACTGGCTTCTCTGCACAGGGGTGAATTTCATTCTGATTATGAAACACAATAGAGATCGGTGTGACCCTCTGGAGTGAAATGTGCAAAGTGGAGACCATAAACCTCTCTCTGTTTTATTTGATTGTCATTTAGGCCATCACAAAGCACATGGAGAGGCTCCTACAGGCATCGCGGCCATCAGAAGAATCCATGGAAAACAAATTGGAAAAGATCATGAGTGACGTGAGCAGCCAGGAAAACGCAGCCTTGCTGGAAGTGGTGCTGCATACTGCTCTCACGCTGACCCTGTCCCAGAACCCGCTCACCGAGCTATTCAAATCCATCTGCTTCCAGCCCAGTGCTGTCAAGGTGAGTCTAAAGCAAAGAGCCATTGTATTCCTCCTCGGCCCCAGCAGCTCTGTGTGCCACTGACATCATCCCCTTTATGCCCCTTTCTGTCTGCAGTGTCAGTTACAGCAGCTTTTGGGTGTGGGAGGAACTTAAGATCTGTCCCTATAAATACAGATATATTTACAATAATCCAAAATCATGGCCATCGTGCCACATCCCACCTGCACTTTGCTTCTGGGTCTCGTCCCGTTCTGTTAACTCAGTTGCTAACCAGAGACTTTGGATTTTTTAGTCCAAAACCCCCCAAGTCACTATTTGACTTTCCCCCTTTCTCCAGTGACGAATGCCGGGGATATGTGCACGACAGCACCTGCCTGAGGTTCTGAGGGCTCCAGGGAAATAGTACCGAAAGAATTTAAGGCCGGGAAGAACCATTATAACCCCCTGCATAACCCAGGCCAGAGAATCTCACTCAGTTACCATTGTTCGGAGCCCTGAATTATCCACCTGGCTGTCTGTCCATCTGTGTGTGTCTGTTTGCAGTGACTCGTTATCTTAATGTCAGCTGATAAAGTTAGATTTTCCTGTTGAAATCAAAAAGGAAATCAAAGTTTCCACAAGTCATTGGGCTGGATGCAGGAATCGCTGGGTGAGATTCTCTGGATTGTGATATGCAGGAGACCAGGCTAGATGGTCAGAAAGGTTCCTTCTGGCCTTGACATCGATGACTCTTTCCCTTTGTGCTCATGTGGCTAGTTTCCCAAGTTATAGCACCAAATTCCCAGAGGAAGAATACTGTCTTTGTTCAGGCAGAGAAAGCCACCTAGCACAAGGAAATGAAAACCTGTACCTGGGACGAAGGGGGAGAATTTGGCATGAAGCTGGGTCGGCGTAGCACAAACACCTCATGTGAGAATTGATCTGGCCTAGCTGGCAGCCTGCTTTGGAGGCTGAGCACTTTTATAGGCCCATTTTGGCTTTATGATTCCGTACCAGTATTTTATTACTCATTTAGAGAGGCTGTGTCCTTGGGGGGATCAGGCACTGGACTAATACTCAGGTTTCCTGGGTTCTGTTCCCACCTCTCCCTGGGTGACTTGGGCAAGTCACTGAACCTTTCTCCTCCCACCTCTTGTCTATTTATATTGTAACTCGTTGGGGCAGGGATTGTCTCATTATGCGTCTGTATGGTGCTGGGCACAACAGGACCCTGATCTCGGTCACTGTGTGTCCGAGCAGTGCCTGGCATAGAATCATAGAATATTAGGGTTGGAAGAGACCTCAGGAGGTCATCTAGTCCAATCCCCTTCTCAAAGCAGGACCAACCCCAACTAAATCATCCCAGCCAGGGCTTTGTCAAGTCGGGCCCTAAAAACCTCTAAGGATAGAGATTCCACCACCTCCCTAGGTAACCCATTCCAGTGCTTCACCACCCTCCTAGTGAAATAGTGTTTCCTAATATCCAACGTAGACCTCCCCCACTGCAACTTGAGACCATTGCTCCTTGTTCTGTCATCTACCACCACTGAGAACAGCCTAGCTCCATCCTCTTTGGAACCGCCCTTCAGGTAGTTGAAGGCTGCTATCAAATCCCCCCCTCACTCTTCTCTTCTGCAGACTAAACAAGCCCAGTTCCCTCAGCCTCTCCTCGTAAGTCATGTGTCCCAGCCCCCTAATTGTTTTCGTTGCCCTCCGCTGGACTGTCTCCAATTTGTCCACATCCTTTCTGTAGTGGGGGGATCAAAACTGGACGCAATACTCCAGGTCTGGCCTCATCAGTGCCGAATAGAGGGGAATAATCACTTCCCTCAATCTGCTGGCAATGCTCCTACTAATACAGCCCAATATGCCATTGGCTTTCTTGGCAACAGCGGCACACTCCAGACTCATATCCAGCTTCTCGTCCACTGTAATCCCCAGGTCTTTTTCTGCAGAACTGCTGCTTAGCCAGTTGGTTCCCAGCCTGTAGCGGTGCATGGGATTCTTCCTTCCTAAGTGCAGGACTCTGATGGGGACATGATGGGGCCCTGATCTCAGTAACTGTGTGTCTGTGCAGCACTTGGTGCAATGAGGTTCTGAGCTTAGTCTGGAAGTTGCCAGGAACCAAACCTGTATCTCCCAAATCCCCATCCAATGCTCTATGCACAAGCCCTTCCTTCCGCTCTGCCCCGGTGCTGTAGTAAAGGTGTCCAACTGTGGTTTGTTTACCAGGCGAGCTACCTTCCGACCATGCCAAGCGACCTTCTCTTTGATGTGACGAATTGGAAAAACACTGCCACGGCAGATACACTGTGGAGTAAGTGTCAGAAAAACTTTATATCAGTATTTTTCTGGATGCTTTTAAACACCCCACTATCATAATACTAGGTGTGCTTCCCCTAGTGGTGTATACATACAAAGACAATCTTCCTTTCCAAGCCTCCGGGTGGAGATGTGGCTGAGAAAAACGGGGCATGACTGGGACACAGCCAAGTCCAGCTGAACTTTGTTGGACTGAAAGGTACCCCGAGTCTGTAGGAACTGGTCTTAAATTAAAGCAAGGTTGGGGCAGGATCTGGCAGCCTTGGTACAAGGGATGAGTAAAGGCTACGTAAAGCCAACTATGTCCCTCCAGTCTGGTCCTGCACTGATTACATTTCAGACTGACCAGAAATCTGGTTTAGAATGTTGATTCACAAGGTCATTTTTTACGGAAGCAGGAAGTTTGGGACCAGGTCCCCAGCTGATGTAAATGGGCTCTAGCTCCAATTCGATTGGACCAGATCCACAGCTGGGGAGAATTGGTTGTCACTCCATTGGAGTCACTGGGGCTGTGCTGATCCACCCGAGCTGAGGTTCTGGTGTATTATCATTACTGTTGTTTTTGTGACTGTATCAGTAGCTGATTGGTCTGATTCCCTCTCACACAGGATGCCAATGCGGGCAGTACTGGAGCATTGAAAATGTAAGTGTCTCTTCATAGCTGTTGTTCGTTGCGGGTGTATCTTCAGCCTCTTGCTTCATCTCCATGTCTCTGGAATGTACATGTCGGATTTCTCAGGACAGGATTACCTGCCACTGACACAAGGATCAGAGGCCCAAGCTGACTCCAGACCTGATCTCCCTACCTAGAACTATGCACTTAAATTGCACCTAAACCTTCACGTTAGGGCAGATGTAATGTCTGGGCTTGAGAATTTCATTGCTGTGCATCCCCATGCTAGTCTCCTGTGATACGAAAGTTTCATATCGGAAGCTGTATCCGCATGTAGCCCCTTCCTGGGACAGCCCCGAAAGGGCGGTAGAGCCCCTGGGTGGGGGCTGAACCTGCCTCCTCCAGAGCTAAGAGCACAGTTCTTTCCTGCCTGAGCCGAAAGACCCACCTCTCTTAGCCCAGGCTGTAGCAGGCTCATCAACCTCTATGTACGGCCTGGCCATCCCTAGAGCTGGGCTGGGCACCACACTGGTAAGTGTGGGTTCCATGTGTAGATGTGTCTGTGGAGACAGTTACAGAATATGAAGAGTTCCATGGCATGGCCTGTAAGAGTAAAGCGAGCGGTATTTGTAGAGGTAGTTGTTTTCCACTGCAAATGCCTTAGGCCCAGATTCACAAAGGGGTGAGGTGTAACCCTTCTGCCTGTTGGAATTGGCAGCAACAAGGGCCGGGTTCAATATCTAGGGGTTCCTCTTCAACAATACAACACAAAACCAGCTCAAGCCCCGACCCAGTGACATGGGACACACCACCCTCTGGGCGCCTCTAAGAGGCAATACTTCCCCTCTTACCAGCACAGAGTCTGAATGTAGAAAAGAAACTTAATAACAGGAGGGAAGTAGCCCAGCATTAATTTGGGAAAACACCACAAACAGGGTTCATAAACATAAACCATGCCCAAAAGACCAACGCATGAGTAAGTTGGGCAGTGTCCTCTTCCATCAAGTTCTTAAGTCCAGCAACCAAAAGTCCCTTTAACATGCCCGTCCCTTCTCTGCACCCCATTCACAGTTGTTGTCCTTGGTACGTGCAGACCCAGGGGGCAGAGTTGCATCTGCAGAGTTCATCTCCCACCCTGGGTGGAGGGTAAGAAGGCACTTTACTTGCTTTGCTGCCCCAGCACCACTCTGCTTATTACCCTGTCTTGTGTAATAAGACTCTCTCTTATTACACAGTAGAGAGAGGAAGGATCAAATGGTGTCTGGAGCCCTTAGGTAAGGCCCACACTACCAGGTACAAGTGACAATTCCCACCCTCTCTCTCAACTCATTGGGCTTTGGAACACAAGTCCCCCTGCCTAACGAGTGTCATTTAGTTGAGAGTGAGTCCCTCAATCAGGAAATGCCAAGTACAGTTCTGCTTCCCTGGATTCACACAACAAGGATAACAAGTCTTTATAACTCCGGCCCCAATGACAAGGAGACTGGGGATTCCACACCAGCCAAAAAGTGATCATTTGGGCAAGCAATCCCATCATGCTGAGCACCTAGGCAGGGTGGGTGTGCCCATGCAAATGAGATCAGCTCCTGAAGTCCTTTTCCACAGCTCACCACTAGATGTCAGGGGAGAGCTCATTCAGCCTCTGCTTAGATAGGCGTTGTGACGCTGCACATGGCAACACCTAACTTCTAGTTGCTTAGAAAAGCACTGGAACAGCAATGGGATCCACAGAGCCTGAGTTAGGCACCATTGCCCAATGCCTGGGCAGAGACAGGCACTTGACAATGTGACACACCAAGCCAGCACACTAGGCAGGGAGCTGTTTAAGCTAGCCAATGGGAGATACCAATCACTGGGGTATGTGCTAAGCCCTGCCCCCTTCAGAGAGGTAGGCACCTGAGTCCAGGCTCCAGGGAGGTGGCTGGCTCTGCCTAGTGATCCACGAATGGGAACCCCTCCCATAGAGTCAGGGGGCTTAGATGCCTACGTCTCTTTCTTTCAAGATGAAGTTAGCCCCATCAGATTATCCCATAGCTCTGTAGCTAGGGCACCCTCCTGGGAGCCCCCAGTTCAAATTCTTAGTCCCCCTTGGGCCAAGGGGGCAATGAAACCTGAACTTCCCACACCCGGGGTGAGTGCTCAAACCACTGGGCTGAAAGGTGTGAAGGAACCTTCTCCTCTGGCTTGGTTTTCAACGGGCTCCTTTTCTTGTCTTCCCCTGGTTCGTGGGTTGCTCTGGGGCTGAGGCAAGAGATCGGCATTTGGACACCTAGAGGGAGGCAGCAATGCACATGCCCAGAGGCAGAAACTTCAGCACTGAGGGAACGTGTACCCTGAAAACAGAGGCGCGGAGTGAGCGTAGATGCTACAGGGTTAGGAGGTAACAGAGCAGGAGTTTTGTGGCTCGCAGTGATGCCTGAAATTGGGGCTTAGCCACGAAGTACCTTGGTGGATCTGGGCCTTCCCAACTGGAGGTCTGAGTACCCTGCACCTAATCCTCCTCCTCCGTTCTAGCAACGTGGTTTTAAACAGTGACCGATGTGGTTTTGCCTTGCCATTATCAATCATACTGATTCTGCATACATTTCGTGAGACCACAAGTTTATACACACAAAGCGAGTTAGGGCACCCATCCCCCCCCAAACTTCAGCATGTTTGGGGAGCCATTGGGCTTGTCTACATGGCCACTTTGTGTGCGACAAGCCACGGTGTGAACTACAGCACACTGTCTTGTGCACTAAATCACTGTGTGGACACTGCTGCGTCCTGTGCACTAAAGTTCCGTATTGCACTTGGACGTACTGCTGATTCAGTAGCACTTTTAGCGTGCGGGAGCAGGTGCCACACAGACAGTTGGTTCGTGTACATTCACACCTCGACTTGCCGTGCACTGAGGGGCTGTGTAGACAAGCCCTAACTCCACTAGGCTACTTTGAGAACATGATCCTATGCACAAGGCCAGTGTGTTGCACACTTACTGTCTTTCCTGTTCACTCTTCGGAACATTTCTGCCTCCAGCGGTTTGTGCAAAGTCTGTTTCTTGCTCAGCTGGAGAGAGTGATGCTGTCTGGCTAGCAGCTGAGCAAACCATTGTACAATTGTTGCACTGCTGGTTCTTTAAGAAGTGACTAATGCTGACATTATTCCTGTGACAACAGTGTGGACGGCCCTGGGTTATTATCAAGTGTCGGTGTGGCTCCGAGGTCGGTGGGACTAATCACAACCCCGTGGAGGGATTTGAGGAAGTAGATATGTAAGTTTAAAATCATTGCATGTAATGTAAAAGGAATGAATGAGACTGTGTCAACTTAAACCCACACAGCTGGGAATTGTCTACTGGGGTGAACTATAGGTGCCAATTTTAGGGGAAATTTCATTGAAAGTTCAAAATTCCAATCCTTTTCCCCACCCCAGTGTGACCCCACGGTCACTATAGTTGTGAACTGGTTAAGGTGAAACACCAAAAAAATACAAGGTTTGGGAGAAAACTCTGACCTCTATGACTGTCAAATTATGGTTTCTTAATACAGCACGAAGGATAGAACAGAGAGAGGCTACGTGCTGGGGAGTCCGTCCTCACGGAACAATGAGACAGAAAGGGATCTGCCCGCAACCTCAGTCTGCATCGCCAGAGCACTGCTCCATTCTTCAATGCTCCTGGGGACTTTTACCGATAGACAGGTGGGAAAACAATTATGCCCAATAACACTTCTGTCTGTCTGTCTCTCGTAACTGATCAGGGTTGTACACCACTAACCAGCTATAACTTGTAATGGTAACTTTGACTGAGTTATACATTGCCTTTAGAGAAGTGTCTGTACAATTATATGGGGAAATGCTTCCTCAGAGCTAAGCTATGGAAATACTTTGCCTTCTAGTCCATTTTGGAGCTAATGAAAGTGAAGCCCCAGGATGCAGTAAAGTTCTTTTGTGACCACCTTGAAAAAGACATCCAGTTCCTAGCGGAGTCACTTAGTGGCAACATAGACGATGCAACGATGACAGTCCACCTATTCCTCGGATACATCCTCGACAGCACAGCCGGTAAAGAAACGCCTCGTTTTAGGGACTGGTTTTTTTGTTTTGTTTTTTGCTGCTGTATTTATGACAAAGTGAGACAAATTCAGACTAAAATTAGGTTCAAAATGTTTATCAGAGAGGGGAATGAGCCATCAGGACCCCTCATGTAGGGATGAGGTGGATTCTCCAGCACTTGGAGTCTTGACCTTAAGATGTGATATCTCTTCTAAAAGATCTGCTATAGCTCATACAGAGGTGATGGGCATGGTGTAGAAATCACTGGCTGAGGTTCTATGGCCAGAGTTATGCAGGAGGTAGGACCAGATGATCACAACGCTCTCTTCTGGCCTTATTCTATGAACCTATCAATAAACTGATTTTTAACTGGCTAATATTTGAATGGGCTCCTATATCTTATGATTAAAAAGTCCAGTTGTCTGATAACACTGTAATTCATTTCACTATTATGAATAACAATATTTACTGCAATTGCTGTACTTTAGATCTGCACGTTATTGTATGTTAAATGATGAAACCTGATGTGTAATTGTATATTTCTTACAGACACAAAGATGACCATTAAATGTATGCATGAAAAAGAAGACAGAGTACAATGGGAAAGCTGCTTAAAAGCCGTAACTCAGTCGTTCTTCCAGGTATGTGAGAACCAGTTTTCTATACATGGTAAATATCACAAATAAACCAGCTGTTTACTCAGGGTAAGAGAGAGAGAGACAGAAAAAGCCCACCTGAGACTTCCATGCCACTGTATGAAACCAGAAGTCACACAAAACATTTCTAAAATGCCATTGTTTTGCCTCCAAAGAACCCCTTGGTGCTCAGATGCCACAGTGATGGGCGCGTTATAAGAACCTGATAGGACAACATAGACTATATTAAGCCTGGTTCATTTTTTCAATGCAAAAACTTGTTCATTGTGTTCAGCACACTAGAGAGGAAACTCCTGTGTGTTTGAGTGTCTACGAACCTGATATTAAACTGCCTGCCAGTCTACATTTCCAAGAGTTCTGGTGGCATTTCATTATTATTATTAATGGTAGGGCCTATTGGCTTAAACCAAGATCAGGGCCCCATTTTGCCAGGCAATTCACAGACACACACAAAGTCTGTGGGTGGGGTGAAGGGGCCATGGTCCTCCCACTTTTTACTCGCTATAAGGGCGAGGGGGTGGAGAGAAGTGAGCAGGGGGTGTAGCCATGGGGGAATGGGCAGCTCGGCGCGGGTCCTTGGGGGAAGGGGTTAGAATGGAGCCATATTTCGGATGCCAGTGGCCCCTCCACTTTTATGGAGTTTCCGTAGTCCCTAGCTGGGTGTTGCACAGACACACAGTGGAAATCAGTCCCTGCCCCAAAGAGCTCGCAGTCTAAATAGACAAGGGCAGGGTTATTGTCCCTTTTTACAGATGAGAAATGGAGACACAGAATCATGAAATAGCTTCTCTGAGATCACACAAGGAGTCGGTGGCAGAGCCAAGAATTGAACCCAGATCTCTAGTCTGGTGCCTTAACCCTGAGCCAGCCCGGGCTGCCTCTCAGACCAATGAGAAGAGCCAGGCCCCTTTATAACCAGACTCGATTCCTAACTGACTTCTCACTTCCACAGGTGCTGGAGCAGAAACTTGCTTCTGCAAAGCAGCAGATTGTAGAGGAGGGAGCTCACAGTTCAAATGTTCTCCTGAAAGTAGCCTACGGCCAGTCCCCACCTTTCAGCCACCTGCCGAGCTGCGGGCCGATCAACATGCCCTGCATGTGGAGATTTGAACAGAGGATGACAGTCCAGCGCCTGACCCATCTGGTGCAACAAGAAAATGGAGCAAACCCGTTCCCTGTGCTCCTGGAACTACTGTCTAAGGTGATCTGGGATGCTTTGAAGTAATGTGCACACACAAACAGCACATGGGTTAGAACAGCACACACATATACAGAGATGTGAATACATTGTAACCCCTTTTCAGCCCAACAGGCTAGTCACAGTTTGGGGCCTTGTGGATGTTCCAGTTGGACATAGAAATTGATGGAGTCTGGTATTTTCTTTACTGCAGTTTTGTTTATTTACAAATAATGAACAAAGACTCATGTCTCTGAACACGGGGAATCAACTAGCAGGAAACAGCTTTTGTTGCTCACAGCACCAAGAGCAATCTTTGAGTCTGCACCCTGACCTCTTCCCAGGTCACCCACCATCTTGCAGCTGCTCCCTCCTTTTGGCAGTCTCTCCCTCTTATCCTGTTCTTGTCTGACCTCTGTTTCTGTGGGCTTGTCTACACTTACAATGCTGTGCCACTGTAGCGCTTCAGTATAGATGCTACCTACGTTGACGGGAGTGTTTCTCCCAGTGGTGTAGGTGATCCACCTCCCCGAGAGGCTGTAGTTAGGTTGATGGAAGAATTCTTCTGTTAACCTAGCAATGTCTACACAGAGCCTTAGGTCATTATAACTACACCGCTCAGGGGGGTGGATTTTCAGTACCTCTGGCTGATATAATTAAACAGACCTAATTTTCTGGTGTAGCCCAGTGTGATCTCTCTTCCCATTAACACACAGCTACTCAAAACAATACTCAGCCAAAAGCTCCTGGGCAGGTTCACACGTGTCTTTTGTCTTAGATGCGGCTTTTACTTACAGTTACGTTAAGGTCTTGATTTAAAGACAGGAGATAATTATGCTAGGTCTTCCATCATGTCTGTATTTAAACATGAACGTTCAGGTTTAAGTTATGCCCATAAAGCCAGATTCCGAGATGATGTGTAAGATTTACTCCCTTACTCTCATTTGGACTCTCTCATGCCGACTCACACTCGCTGACCAATGTGCAAGGGAGTCATGTGACGATGGCTGATTTCGCCAAACACGGAACAAAGAACTTTATTAGAATAAAGAAAATAATAGTTTGCCTGTAGCCCGCGGTCTCTCTCTAATCCTAAAGTTCTTTGTCCAGAGTAGGAAAAAAACCTAGTGTAGGCAGAGTTTCACATGTCTTATGAACAGCACTTGCGGGAGGAGGGATAGCTCAGTGGTTTGAGCATTGGCCTGCTAAACCCAGGGTTGTGAATTCAATCCTTGAGGGGGCCATTTAGGGATGTGGGGTAAAAATCTGTCTGGGGATTGCTTTGAGCAGGGGGTTAGACTAGATGACATTCTATGATTCAATACATTTTAGCTGACTTTAAAAAGCACCATTTTTTCCTGCTTTTAACTCCTCCCCTTCTGACAGGCTTCCTGCTACACATGTAAAGAAATAGGACAGCTATCCTCACAAGGGGGTTAATTTACACCATTATTTTTTACACCTCTTAATCTGTCCCAAAGAAACAAGGCAGGTGTGATCCGCTACTTCCATTCCAGTCAGGCAGCTTCAGTTGATTGCAGCACATGCCTATGGACAATTTGAGTTTGCATTACAACAGGTGTGCTAGCAATGACCAGTATGAAATGCTAGGCAGTTGGCAGGGGTTTGGCAGGTAGCAGGATCTTTGCATAGCTTTCCTAGGGTCCCATAGAGGACTGTAGGGATAAAGTAGATAACTATTAAAAAGTCCAAAAGGGCTTGGAGACAGATGGACCAGTTCCCGCTGGCTGCTTTGCATTGCTCCGGTGATGCAAAGCAGCCAGACACCCACATAACTATAAAGTTTGCAGGAACATCAGAACCACGCAACCTTTGTCCTGATAGCATCTTTTCTCTCCCACTGAACATAGGCATCATGTTAAAGAGGTAGTTACTTTTCTCTTACAGCACCAGCATATCCGACACATACGGCACCTGCCTGAAATTCTCACTTTGCAGCGCTCTCTGATCCACTTTTTCCAAAATGGCGATATCCATGAAGGTGAAAGGCTTTCTGTGAGAAAGTTCTTGGAACGGGACAACCTCTCAGGTACACTTCATGCTTCTAGGGTTATGGTACCAAATCCACTCTTGGTGCAGCTGTATTGGAGTCAGTGGGGCCAGATCTACAGCTGGTGTGAATCATCACTGTGCACTGATCCTACACACCTGTGGATCCCTCAGTGCTGTAGGGATCTTCTTGGGGCTTTAGGGCAGCTTTGCATTGTGGGGACAACCCCTGGCAGCCTCAATGCATGCAAGAATTAGAGGGGAGGGATAGCTCAGTGGTTTGAGCATTGGCCTGCTAAACTCAGGGTTATGAGTTCAATCCTTGAGAGGGCCACTTAGGGATCTGGGGCCTGCTAGTGAAGGCAGGGGGCTGGACTCGATGACTTTTCAAGGTCTCTTCCAGTTCTAGGAGATAGGATATCTCCATTTATTTAAGAATCTGTACGACCCTGTTTCTTGAGCAGCAATAAAGAACCCAAGGAACTTCATGGCTGAGCTAGGCATGGTCTCTGTACAAGGAATAATACTGACATGCCTGGGGCTTGAGCCAGATACTGTGGCGATCAAGGGAAAAACTCCCATTTGCTGCAGTGGGCTTTGGATCCGGCCTGTGGACCAAGGAGAACACCTGCAGTTCTGCAATTATTTGCAAATTGTAAACATCCGTCAAAGAAGCCAATGAGAGCAATCAGTCAAAATGCCTCAGTGTCTGAGGAGCCTAAGAGCCGTTGGCTTTCAATAAGACTGTGGCCAGGTCCACACTACAGACTTGTGACAGCATAGCCAGGCTGGTCAGATGTGATGAGGTGCAATTTTGTGATTGACGGAGCTTGATGGCAAAAGCTCCTAGTGCAGAGATAGTTATACCAGCTGCACTGTGCTTTAGCCGGGACAACTTATTTTGCTCAGGGAGGCAGGAATAAGTCAAACCAGCAAAAGTGCTTTGGCTGCTGTACGCTGCGTCCACACTAGGAGTGCTTTGCTGGAACAGGATACTGGTATAGCCACACTGGCAAAGTGCTCCAAGTGTAGACCTGGCCTTGATATTCTCAAGGCTAGATCCACAAAGGGGACTTAAACTCAGCATTGCAATGCCTGACAGTTACACGCCAGGCTGCCACCGGGAATCCACAGATTAATACTTACCCTGATTGGGCCAGAGAGAGAGAGAGAGAATGGCTTTGTCCCCTGGTGATTAGGTTACCCACCTGGGAGAGCTCCAGTGCCCCTGCTCCAGCTAATATTTAAGTAGTTTATACAAAGTGGAACAGGTTCAGCAGGAGAGATTGAGAGGGTGCTAGCCCAGGATACCCAATTTCCCAGTGGCTAGGTCACTCACCTGCAATCCTAGGGACCGGGTTCCAGTCCCGGCTCTAAGTAAGACAGATGAGGATTTAAATTCATGTTTTCCACATACAGGGTGAGTGCCCTAGTCACTGATACGAGGGCACCATCACTACCTCATCTGCTTTGGCCCTGCTTTGGGTGGGGCCAGACTTGGAAGCTGAACATAAGAATGGCCGTACTGGGTCAGACCAAAGGTCCATCCAGCCCAGTATCCTGTCTACCGACAGTGGCCAATGCCAGGTGCCCCAGAGGGAGTGAACCTAACAGGTAATGATCAAGTGATCTCTCTCCTGCCGTCCATCACCACCCTCTGAGAATGCCTGCTGGGTTGGGCTTCTGCAGATGAGATAGGTGGGGAGATGTCTAGTTCATAGACTCATAGAAATGTAGGGCTGGAAGGGACCTTAAGAGGTCATCAAGTCCAGGATCGAGTAAACCTAGATTATCTCTGACAGGTGTTTGTCCAGCATGTTCCTAAAAAAAACAACAACCCAATAATGGAGATTCTACAATCTTCCTTGGAAGCCTATTCCAGAATTTAAACGACCCTTCTTAGTATGTTACCTAAATCTCCCTTGCTGCAGATTAAACCCATTACTTCTTGTCCTGTCTTCATGGAGAACAAGTGATCACTGTCCTCTTTATAACAGCCCCTAACATATCTGAAGACTGTTATCAAGTCTCCCCCGTCATCTTTTCTCAAGTCTAAACATGCCCAGTTTTTTTAACCTTTCCTCATAGGTCAGGTTCTCTAAGCCTTTTATTATTTCTGTTGCTCTCCTCTGGACTCTCTTCAGTTTGTCCACATCTTCGCTCACGTGTGATGCCCAGATCTGGACACGGTATCCAGCTGAGGGCTCCGCAGTGCCGAGTGGAGCAGTGACCTCCCGTGAATCCTGATGGGGCTTAGGAGGCGTCAGGATTTAGAGGGCTGTGTACATGCTGCCTAGCAGACATTTAGGCATCTAGGGGACTTTACCAGTGGGAATTTAAGCAACTGCAGAGTTAAGTGGCAGCTGAGTGGCGATTTTAAATATCTAAATTTTGGCTTCAGGTGCACAAAATGACAATTAGGTGCCTAAATCCCTTTGTGGATCTAGCCTTCAGTGCCTAAATCTCTTGAAAATCAATCTCAGGCTCCCAAAAAACGTAGGCACCTTTCAAAATTTTACCTCATACCTGTTGGTAAATCTTCTTTAATGTTGCAAGGTATGTTAACATTTCAATTAGTCTTCTTACTATTAGAAGTATTTTTGCAAGAGGGAAACTGTTTTTTTTTTTCCTGGAAAAGTATGTTGATAAATGCCATGTTCTCTTCCAACTTCAGATGATCAGCGTTTGACTTTTGAAAGAGCCATACAGACTGTTCAGAAAGTGTGGAGCAATATAAGATCAAGCCCCAGAAGCTCAGGTATTTTGATTTTCATGGTGTTTTACTTTCCTTTCTAGATATTTTTTCTGTCATGTAACAAACAAACGATTCAGTTGTGAAGCTGAGTATGAGTCTACTCCAGAGTAATTACCAAGTATTCCCTGACACACAGCTGGTCCCAGATTACCCGCTATCCTGCAGAGACATAAACATCCTTAATATACTCTGAGTGTTTCCACTGACTTCACTGGGGCTACTCAAAATGTCTAAAGCTCAGCATGGTTGTAAGTCTTTGCAGGGTTGGTGAGGAAGGGAGCTGCGTACCGAAAGGGCAGTGATAATCAGGTTGTCCAGTTGTATAAGCTAACTGAACATTTTTGCATATGGAAATTGCTAGCTAGAAGTGGGGGTGACTTCTAATTTTTTTCTAACTGTTGCAAGTTTTTCACAATTTCTTTTTTCATAAAACACTTGCTGTTTTTTTTTCCAGCCAGTTGGTTGAATTTTGTTTGTTTATTTAGATTCAGTTTGAAATTTTGACAAAAAGACGGCGTGAAAAATGTGGAGAATTATTTTGTGAAAACCGTTTCTTTCCCCACCTGCCACTTGATACCCTGGTTCCTGTGATTCCGTGCACACGGCGTGAAAGATTCTCTGCTTTGTTACAGAAATCAGCGTCCCTGAGGAACTGTGGTGCAAGGAGATCAACCCTGACACTGCCATCCTGGACCTCCTGCCAACCACTCCATCCATAACTTCCATTGTTACAAGGTTCTTAATACAGCTCCAGAACGGCTGCATTGACACAGCTGCTCAACTCACTAAGGAAAAGCAAAGGTATCTTTCAATCCTCACCCCTAGGGGGGAACCACTCTGACTAGATAACTGTAGTTACCCATAAATCAACAATTCATCTTAAAACATAGATCCTGAGTCTCATCTCACTTCTGCCATCTGTGTGAGGAGGGCCAGGCCAGACTTCTCCAAGAAGAAAACATAACTCTTATGACCTTGTGCAATGAGGCAGTTAGGGTGAAGCTATATCAAGATCTGCTTAGGCGGCGTGTAAAGTTGATTTGGTCTTATTTTAGTGTCCCAGACAGGGGTGGTGGAACTAGGGGTGCAGGGATCCTGCAGCACCCCTGGCTTAAAGTGGTTTCCATCATAAACGGGGTTTACAGGTTTGTTCAATAGCTTTCAGCACCCAGCACCCTGGTCCCAGACTTACCTTAGGGTAGCTGAGATCAGAATCTGACCCTGACCCCACAGCAATCAAGGGATGACTCCAGACTGACCCCAGGGTAACTTGCCATGTTACCGTAAGGAAGGACCGAGGAGCACAGCAAGATATTTATGGTCCCAACAGGGAACTGCCTTTTTACAGCTAACCTGGGCGTGCCACAGACATTCCGCGGCATATAACCCACAGTGTGATCGTAGCTTTACCAGTATGAAGATGTTGACAGCAATGTAGTTTTCCCATATATTTAGGGTAATAAGTTATAGTGGTGACAAGTATCAGGGGGGTAGCCATGTTAATCTGTATCCGCAAAAACAATGAGGAGTCCAGAGGCACCTTAAAGACTAATAGACTTATTTGGGCATAAGCTTTTGTGGGTAAAAAACCCACTTCGAAGTGGATTTTTTACCCACAAAAGCTTATGCCCAAATAAATCTGTTATTCTTTAAGGTGCCACCGGACTCTAATTTATAGTGGTGTAAGCATCTTTATACCGGTGCAACTGCACCTGGCTAGGGGTTGAACCAATTAATCTATTTAGCTAAAAAACTCACACACAACCCAAAAAATAGTTAAACTGGTACAAAATCTATCGGTAGAACAGGCTAGCTTAACTGATATAATACAGCTGTAAACTGCTATAAGTGCATCCGCACAGGGGTTTGCACCAGTGCAACTACAATGATTTTTTAAACCAATTTCAGCTCAACTGTGCACTTGATGTTAGCCAAAAGGCCAAGAAACGCTCGATTTCAGTTCAACTGGTACAACCACAAGAGCAAAACTCCCATTGGCTTTAATGGGGCAGGTTGAAACTCTTAGGGCCAAATTTACAATGGTGTTTAGGCACCTGAAGATGCAAAGAGGCACCTAGTGGGATTTTTCCAAAGTGCCAAGGCAGATTAGGCTCCAAACTCCCATTGTTTTCAATAGTTGCAATGGGAGGTACTATAGGCTAGTGGACACAGAAGACGTGGGGTCTAATCCTGGCTCTTCTGGGGCACGTTGGGTGAGTCAATTGCCTTCCACTGTGCCTCAGTCTTCCTAACTGTAAAATGGGGATAATGGTACTTAGCTCTAAGAGCTAGAGGTTATTACTTCTTATTATCTGCATCTGTAGGTGCTCAAAGACCTTTGTAACGCTGACCTTTGATCCTTTAGCTCACACAGCAAAGGTGCTCAGTGCTGGAGATTGCAGAGTCTTTCTTTGCTTTCCCCTTGTCTCATCTGAGCATTGGCCTGCTAAACCTAGGGTTGTGAGTTCAGTCCTTGAGGGGGCCATTTAGGGATCTCGGGCAAAACCAGTTCTTGGTCCTGCTAGTGAAGGCAGGGGGCTGGACTCGATGACCTTTCAAGGTCCCTTCCAGTTCTAGGAGATAGGATATCTCCATTAATTAAATTAAATTAAATCTCTCTGGATGGCTGTGCTGCCAACTCACCCTGTTTTACTGCCAGTCTCAGCTTCCCTGTCAGTTTCTGGCCTTTGTGGCTGTGAGGAAAAGCCTGGAAATGTGGTTCCCAATCCTGACAACTCCAGGAGGTGAATAGAAAGGCCTCAGAACATAATAGTCTTTAAATCTTAAGCCAGCCGCATGATTTTTGGAGCCCAGCATGTGTGGGGTTGGCCAAGCTGGCAGGGTGTCGTGCTGTCGGGGTAAACATCACAAAGATTAATATTTGGAATTTAAAGACAGAAGGGATCATCTCTTAGATCATCTAGTCTGAGTTCCTGTATAGCACAGGCCATTAGCGTCACTAAGACCAACAACTTGTGTTTGACTAAAGTATCTTCCAGAAAGGCGTCCCATCTGGATTGGAAGCCACCAAGGGATGGAGAATCCACCGCTTCCCTTGGCAGTTTGTTCCAAGGGTTAATCACCTTTACTGTCAACAGTTGGTGCCTTATTTTCAATTTGAATTTCTCAGGCTTCAGCTTCCAGCCATTGGTTTTTGTTCGCTGCTAGATTAAAGAGCCCTTTAGTACCCGTGATTTTTAGTGTGTTCAGGTATTAATACAGGCCAAGGGCTTTTTTCACTCAGCAAGCGACTCAGCCGGCCAGCACTGCTTCCACATGTGGCAAGAACTTCAGCTTAGCAGCACATCATTCAGAGCAGCTTTGGGCTCTTCCTCCACTGACTCCCATGGAGCTATTGCGCTGATGTGACGGAGAGTAACATTTGGCTCACTGTGAGCAGCTCTGCCAAGCATGGAAAAGAACATGAGTCCGGCCCCCCAGAAATCACAAGATTGCCTCAAAAGACACAAGATTTTAAAAAAATACTGTTATGCTAGAAGATGGCATCAAATGGGTCTCTGATCTACAGACAATCACTGACTTCCTTAAAGTTGATGAGTGTGTGAAGCATCTTTATTTCAGGCTGAATTGAAGGAGCGATTTACTACCCCTGTGTATAATGATAGGTGGAAACAATGGAAGCCACCGCCCAAGGCACTAGGCCACATGGCAAGGCCAATCAGAAAGTAAGCCATGTGGGATGAGGGGTTTCCTTGAGGCTAATTGCAAATGTAAAGAGCCAGTGGATTGTTTCTCAAACCATGTCTATGTGTGAGAAGAAGAAAGACAGGAGAAAAAAGCCAGCAGAAAACTAGAGAAGCAGTGGTGAGCATGGCCCAGAGACATAACAGAGACAGAGAGCCTCCTCCTGCTTGTGTGGAAATGGTGAGCCAGGGACCCACCTCCTGCTTCTGTGTTCCTGCTGTGTTCAGGGAAACAGGACTTAATGTGCCTTCTGTAAATAAATAGGATTGCACCAAAGAAATACCTGACCTGTATCATCCATTTCTCCTCATAATGGAAACAATCCCACAAGGCCCTAAATGCTGGCTAATTTCTTGGGTCAAAGAACCAACAATAATAAAGGTGGAGGTGCTTTTATTTGCCTCCTAAGGTCAAGATTTCAAACTTTTTCCTGCAGCTACCAGGGTGGGAAACGTCCCTTTTTAAAAAATGGGAGCTGCTTTTCTCCCATGACTCCAGGAGCTGGAGCCACTAATATCACGAGACTCCCAAGGGTTGGCAACTGAGCATAAGGCTGGAGAGATGGGCTAAATGGCCACCAAGGCTTGTTCCACGTTAGATTTTTTTGGCAGTAAAGAAGAAGACGCCTCACGTTGTTCTTCCCTTTTCTCCAGGTCTATTTCAGCGGAAGAGGTGAAGCACGCCTCTGTGTTAAGTGTTACTGAGAGCGACTTGATCACCATGGCGCTGTCGAACTTCCAGTACGTACTAGAGGAAGATGGAACCAAAACCACCTACTACAACTTTCAGACTCTACAGAGGCAAGTGATTCACCGCTTCATCAGCGGGAAGCCCGTCATGAAAGCCCAGGTGAGTTCAGGATGAAATCATGGAGGTGGCGCTTTGCCATAGACTTCAGCACAGCCAGGATTTTACTCTCAGTGCTTCCTGCTCTGCGGCCTGGCACCTGTGTGAGTCATTCACACCTGAGCAAACCACAATCAAATCAGGATGCACAAGTGGAAATGGTGATGCGAGGTGAAAGACCTGATCCACTGTGGCCTTTTCCAGATTTACACCTGTTTAGCGCCATTGGTTACAGTGGGGTTACATTGGTGTGAATTGGGGGTAATGCAATGGCAAATCAGCCTCACTGTGTTTAGACTTAGGTTAAAATGTTCAAACGTGCCTAAGTGACTTAGGAGCCTAGGACCCATTTCCACAAGGGACTTCGGAGCAGAGCTGGTTGGGAATTTGTTGACACAGTTTTGTTGTTGTTGGAAAATGCCAATTCATCAGGACCAAAACTTTCCATGGTAACCTGCTGATTTTGACAAATTGTTCATTTAAATAAAAAGGAAAATTAGAGAAATGTTTTGAAAATATCAAAAAAACTCGTTTTCTCGTTTGATTTCTGGTTTGAAACAATTGTGTGTTTTGAAATTATAGTTATGTATTAGTTTAAATTTTAAAAATAAATGTAAAAGAGGTCAAAATGAAAGAGGTCAAAATGAAAATTAAACATTTTTGAAATTATCAAAACAAAACATTTCCATTGACCCAAATCAAAACATTTTTCTGTTTGTGAAAATTTTCAAGATTTTCAGTTCCCATCTCAATTTGGAAGAGAAGTTTTTAAACTCTCAAATTCGCACAGGATAGCAAAACTATTTCCCGCCCAGTCTGCTTAGGAGTCTAAATCCCGTTGGCTTCCAGTGAGAGTTGGGCTCCTACGGGCCAGATTTTTGGAATTATTTTTCAGGGGGTAGCCGTGTTAGTCTGTATCCACAAAAACAACGAGGAGTCCGGTGGCACCTTAAAGACTAACGGATTTATTTGGGCATAAGCTTTTGCAGATAAAAAATCTGAAGAAAAATCTTGCATCTGAAGAAGTGGGTTTTTTACTCACGAAAGCTTATGCCCAAATAAATCTGTTAGTCTTTAAGGTGCCACCGTACTCCTCTTTTTTTTAAATTATGTAGGCATCTAGGGGCCTATTGGGATTTTCCAAAGCACCTGAGCAGGTTAGATGCCTAAGTCCCACCGCAAAGCAATGGGATATGGGCACCCAAGTGACTAAATCATCTTTGAAAATAATACTTACATTCCTAAGTCACTTAGGCAGTTTTGAACACTTTAGCCTGAACTCCCATTGATTTGAATAGATGATTTTTTTAAAATCACACTAGGCACCTTTAAAAATCTGGCCTCAAGAGACCAAGATACTTTTCAAAATGGGCTGTAGGCTCCTAAATCCCTTAAGTGCTTTTGAAAATTATGCTGTAACCGTTGGCGTGTGCGTGAGGATTTTTTCTGTATTGAACATGTTGTGCTTTATAAACCAGTTATTAATCACGAACGTTTTCCTTTTCAGACAATTCCGTCCATTGCGCTGAACAATGTGAAGACTCTGCACTCCACGAAAGCTAACGTTAGAGAACAATTGCACCAGGTGAGATCAAAAACAACCCTGGGTTTTCCCCCAGCTTCAGACTCAGATAATCCTCTCTCTTTCCCCCACTGTAAACAGCTTTCATAGCCACTGTACGGTCAGAAGGTTGGGTAAATATCCAAAATCTACCGTATGTCCACTCGCCCATTAAGGGCACCGTTCTCTAAACTCTCCACTCATTTCTAGGCGCCTTCAGCATTTGGATGCTCAGCTTGAGACATCGGAGCAGCCCAAAGCGGCCGAGGAGTAGGCCAGGATCAGGCCCATGATGAGCCAAGTGGAGCATCAAGCTCTAACTTTAGCCACTAAAAAGCACATTTTTGTACAGTTCGTTGGCCACTTGCAGTCAGGGGGCTGGTTCTCTTCCCTCGTACGCCAGGTTCACAACAGTTTTACCCCATTGACTGCCCTGATTTTATTTCTGAATTACACGGATGTAATGCTCTCGTTATTGGTTCAAACACATTTTGAAAGAATTCCTGTAATAAAATAATTATTTGGAGAAGGGCGACTTGGGGGGCGTTTGTTCTCCCTGTCTCATGACACAGGAAAAAGAGGATTTTCAATTAAATTAAAAGGTGGCAAATTCAAAACTGATCAAAGGATGTACTTTTTCACACAATACGTGGCTATCCTGTGGAACTCATTGCCACAAGAAATCACTGAGGCCAAGAAGTTAGCAAGATTCCAGAAAGGATTGGACATTTCTGTAGATCACAAAAATATCCACAGTTAGCTATAATTAGTGATGACAAAAATTTTGTAAACCTCCTGCTCTAGGGTTTGAGCCGCACTCTTACTATCAGAGCCCAGATGGGGTCTAGCATGGGGACAGATTATCACTAATCTGGTACAGGGGGAGAGGGGCTCCTACACCTTCCTCTGTGGCATCTGGTATTGGGTGTTGTCAGAGACCGGTGACTGTACTAGACGGACCTGGCATTGATCCTATCTGGAAATACCCATGTTCCCTTCTGGTAAAGTCCCATAGAATTTAGTACTGATGAAACCAAAGGTCTCTGTAGTATGATTCCATAGAAACTGATCTCTGAACCTTTCCAGTTTCATAGAGAATGATATTATTTTTATAGCTTTTGTCACCTTCCCCTAGAATTCCAAGCAGGAATAGAATTCTCACTTGAATTATATAGCAAAATCATCAAATGTTTAGCACTTACATTCTATAGGAGTTTTGCTTAGAGGGTCACCTAACTTTACAATCTTAACTATCAGAATGAGATAAAATACTTAGTAAGAATATTTGTGTATTATTAACACGGCATTATTAGCACAGCTTAACGATGAGGTGACTTGATCACAGTCTTTAAGTACCAACATGGGGAACAAATATTTGATAATAAAGGGCTTTTCAATCTAGTAGACAAAGATATACTGTGAACTTGTGGCTGGAAGTTGAAGTTAGACAGGAAATAAAGTAAAATTTTTAACAGTGAGAGTAATTAGCCATTGGAATAATTTACTGAGGGCTGTGGTGGATTCTCCCTCACTAGCGATTTTTAAATCAAGATTGGATGCTTTTCTAAAAGACCTGTTGTACTTCAAACAGGAATTATTTTGGGGAAGTTCTGTGGCTTGTGTTACACAGGAGGTCAGACTCACTAGACCATCACAACGGTCACTTCTGGCCTTAGAATCTATTAATCTAATATTCATTTGTCTTATATATGGCATCTCTAACAAAATTCCTCATATCTTCTTCACACATTGTATAAAGCAACAAAGAGTCCTGTGGCACCTTATAGACTAACAGACGTATTGGAGCATAAGCTTTCGTGCGTCTGACGAAGTGGGTATTCACCCATGAAAGCTTATGCTCCAATATGTCTGTTAGTCTATAAGGTACCACAGGACTCTTTGTTGCTTTTTACAGATCCAGACTAACACGGCTACCCCTCTGACACTTGACACATTGTATACAATCCCTTGGATCATACAACGCCAGTGTGGAAACACTTAAGATTGAGTTTTTCGAAGCTGCCTAGCAGATTGGATGCCATTAATTGTAATGGGAATTGGATGTGGAAATCCTACTGACAACTTTTTATCTCCTGTTGCTATCCATAGGAACCACTGAGCGTGAGTCTGATGAAACGCATCATGGAAGAGGCCAGTTCAGTGAGCGACATTTCCAGAGCACTCTCCACCCTGAAAGTGGCTGCGGAGTTCCTGGCCGTAACTGGAGGGGACCCAGAGCGGCTCCTGACTGAGTATGTCAGAAATGAGCTGAAGATGGAGGCTAACGCAAAGCAGTTCAGAGACTTACCAGTAAGAGATTAACTTTGGTTTGAATTCACAGCAATGACAATTAAGCTCTCTTTATAATAAATATTTTTTGTTTTCATGCTTTCTACTATACATTCTGAATATATGAACATAGAGTACAGTTTCTTTCAAAAACTATTGTTTGAGCGAAAAATTGTGGTTTTGACTAAATGAATATTTTTGCTTTCCATGGAAAATTTCAACTTTCCATCAAAAAAGAAAAATGAAAACTTTTGGGTTTCACCCAAAAATGGAAACAAAAACATCAATTTTCAGGCTTTTAAGGAAGTTTCAAATTTTCCACAAATCATTTCATTTAAATGTTCTGTGGAAGAAAACCCATTCTCTGACCAACCCTACTGTATAGATTCTAGAGTAGATTTTTCTGTCAGAAAATGCCGACTTGATTAAACTGAAACATTCTGCGGGAATTCAGCTCACCCGCCTCCTACCTCCCCAGGTTCTTCAGCTCCTCCATAGCCCCAGGTCAAAATGGGAGGCTCCCAACTCATTTAGACACTTCTGAAAAGATTACCCTGCATTCATTTTTTAAAACTTTGGCAGTAGCAAGGTAACTGTGAAACACATATAGAATGTGCTCACTTCCGTGATGAGGATTTAAATATCAGTGTCAAGGCTTTCTGGGTGCCAAGGTCTGGGTAAATCCCTGTCTGTGTTGTTTCATTCCAGGTTGTCCCACAAACGCAGCTGAAGCACATCCTGTCTCTGTGGCAGATCCTGTCAGCAAAGAGATCAGCGCTACTTGTACAAATGAACCAGGTAATGGAGGAATCCACCTCAGTGAGTGCCTGGGATGGGGCTGTGACGAGACTGAAAACTTTCTGTGCAAATTGTTTTTAATCAGAAAATTGGGTTTTTGACAAACTGAAGTTTTTCACAGAAAATTTTGACTTTGCTGAAAAAAGTAAAGCACAAAAACTTTCTAGCTGAAAACCAATTCCTCTTTTGGACATGTTGCTGAAAGCCAGCTGCACTGTGAAATGGGTGATTTTCAATTGCATGTAACTCCACCAGATCTGAACAGCAAAAGGCACCTGCCTGGCCCTAGGGCAATCCCAGTGTCAAATGTCATGCTGCAAGGCACAGACACAATTATTTTAGTTATTGTTTTGTTTTCCCAACATTTCCCCACCAGCTCTAGTTATGACCAACGTTCTCTGCTCACTTGCTGTGTAGTCCCTCCTCTGCTGCTGTCAGGCTCCATCACTTGGAGTCTATAAATCTAGATGCGTCGCCCCTTTCTCAAAGTTATAGTCTAGCTCAGCCAGGAGTTATTGTGCCAGAGGCAGGAATCTCTGGGGGAGAGTCTCTGGCCTGGATTAGGTAGGAGGTTGGGCTGGATGGGACCTGATGGCCTTAATATTGTTGATAAATTGCATAGACAGTTGCTTGCCCACATCTTGGTTTGTTATGAAATATATTCAAGAGATCAGTCAGGTTTATTGCTAAAAGTCAGTACGAGTATAGAGAGACGTCTGTTGGTCTTTTCCTGACCTGAAGAAGAGCTCAGTGTATCTCAAAAGTGTCTCTCTGACCAACAGACGTTGGTCCAATGAGAATACCTCACCCACTCATCTCTCTAATATCCTGGGACCAGCATGGCTACAACAAAACTGACAGTAATAATAGCATAGTACTGGAAGAAAGGCTTTGTAATATAGCAGTTTTCATGAAGCCGTCTTGTGCTGCTGTTTTTAAATCCACTTTACACAGAAGGTGTGCTCCCAGCTACATATTTCAGCAAGTAGTATTTATAGGATGGTTTACAAGTTACAAAATGCTTTATACGTCACAAAATCCATCCCACCAGCTTGTGTCAGTTCCTTAACTTGTTGTTCTGTATCTTCCCTTACTTTGTTTTGGATACTACTGGTCCAGCTTGTACTGGGCACAACATTAATGTATTTTGCATTTGGCAAGTTTCTTATTTTCTAATGCCAAAGCTGACATCAGTTTTGCAAAGTGTTATGGGATACTTAGCATGAGTGAACAGGATTATAAAAAGACACAGACCAATTCAGGCCAGGTAACTGCTAGAAATGTATCTACAATATAATGTACTATTGATATTGTGTGTTTAATGCATTGTGGTATCAATATTGATAATGTGAGATGGATCATAGATTGATAGACATTAGCCCAGCATATATTGGTCAATAAAAGCTATGAAAGTTTTTGCTGGCTACAGGACCGCAGCACTGGCCTGAGGTCACCTGCAGAGCCACCTGCTCCATCCCACCCCGGGAGCAGCCCCTATGCGTAGGGCAGAAGCAAGCGTCACCAGCTACACCTGCCCTGAGCCAAATGAGGACACTCTTCCATCAGGCACATCCTCAACTGCCCTGTGGACGGGGCATCCAGCCACTTCTGCAGCACCTCTGCAGTTGCCCCCACTGACACTGTGCTTCTCATTTCAGAATCCCTTCTTCCTGATAGACAAGGGCTACCATGATGAGCTGGCTGACCAGGAGAGGGAGGAGCTAACAACTGCATTATCCACTGTCAATATTGAGTTCTTTATCATCGAGCTGCACGAAATGATCACAGTGGCATTGGAAAGCTACGATAACAGTTGGGGGTAACTACATATTTCTCTTGTCTGTGAATATGCGAAGGGCTCTGTACAAACATTTAGATCCAGATTAAAAAACTTCTTTTTTTTTACTTTTAATTTGGAGCAGGCACAAACCACTTTAGAAATTATTCCCTGTTGATTTAAGAGCCTTTGTGGGTATGGTTGTTTGGTTGTTTTTTTAAAATGCAGATTATAAGATCAAGGCAAATGTAGGGGAAGAAACCCAGCATCTTAAAATTGCCTGTATATTACTTGTATGCTGTATTAAAAGGGAAAGGTCAAATCATATAGCATATAAAAGGTCTTTTTCCATAGATCTCCAAGTCTTCTAGAATTGGATAACCTGCAGCTGCTACTAATCTAGGCTAGAGATTCTCAGACTTTCCATACTGCAGAACTAGAGGGGCTTAAAGAAGGGCAATGAGAATGATCAGGTGTGTGGAGAAGCTCCTATGAAGACAGACTGAACAGACTGAGGTTGTTACCTAGGAAAAGAGGAGATTTAATAATGGTCTATAAAACACTGACTGGCCTAGAGAAGGAAGATCAGGAGGCATCTGTTCTTCCAGTCCCATAACACAAGAACAAAGGGATGTTCCATGGAATTGAAAGATGGGAAATTCAAAACTGGTCATAGGGAATAGTTTTTTACAGGGCTTGTGATTAGCTTATGGAACTCACTGCCACATGAAGTCACTGAGGCTGAGAATTTAGTGAGACTTAAGAATGGGTCAGGCATGTCTATGGATAATAAGAACATCCATTGTTATTGATAAAAATTCCAGCAGGGATATTAAATCTCATTCTTTAGGTAAGAGCTGGAGTTTAGGTATCTTCTGTTCCTTATGACCCTTTAGTGCCTTGTTTTCTTCCCCAGAGTTATGTCCAGTACTGGATGATTTCACCCACTGCTGTTTAAGAACACACCGTTTTGCTTAAAAATCGATGGGAGGAAATGTTACCTCTTGTCTGACAACTCTTGAATATTCACTAATTGAGGCTTTAGAAACTTTACACGTGGGTCTTTTTCAAATGAAAAATTGAGTTTTGGACTAAATGTAAATTTTCTCAGGAAGCATCTGCTTTCCTCAAAAAAATTTGGTTCAGAAAACCAAAAATGTTGAGACATTTTCATTTATTTGAGAATTCAACATTTCACTTTTCAGCAGTGTTGAGCTGAAAATGTTTACTTTTTAGTTGCTGAAAACCAAACCATTTTCAGGGTTGTTGTTTGTTTTTTTGGGAGGAGGGAGGGTTCATTTTTTGAGAAAAAGTCAAAACTTGCTGCAGAAAAATACCCCATGTTATACCTGCTGAAGTGACCAACAGTGTGAAAAGGGAACTCAAGAAATTGGGTGTGCCTGTCAGAATTGGCACTTAGTCTTAGACTTTCTGAACCAGTGTCCTGTACATTTACAAATTTGTTTTCTTTTATGAACAGGATAGTGGAGACCTTTCGAGAATATTTAGAAAAAGAGGAAAAAGAAGAAAATTACATTGTGAATCTGATCAGCACGGTGAGCCCGGACCTTCAGCTGAAGAACATCATTTCAGTGTGGAAAACTGCTGTGCTAATCAACAAAACATACGCCCGCTCCTACATCCAAGAGTGAATGGGTCCTTGAATTGTTTCCTGTGAATACCAAAACCAATTACTGCACCCACCTGTAATCCACAGAGATTTAGGAAGTAGAGTTTCTTTAAGAAGTGAGTCTCATCAAATCACCAGGTCGATGCATCACTTGAATCAAAATAAGCCTTCAATCACATCTAAGGCCTGGGCTACACTAGCGGGGTAGTTCGAACTAAGATACGCAACTTCAGCTACGCTATTTGTGTAGCTGAAGTCGAAGTATCTTAGTTCGACTTACCTGGCCATCCTCACAGCGGCGAGTCAACTGCCGTGGCTCCCCCGTCGAATCTGCTTACTCCTCCTGCTGAGGTGGAGTATGGGTGTCGATTCGCGGATCGATTTATCGCATCCAGACGAGACGCGATAAATCGATCCCCGATACATCGAACTCTACCCGCCGATCCAGCGGGTAGTATAGACATACCCTAAGTGGTGCCTAGGCCTGGGCATTTGAGTTGAGATGTTATGGGCATGACCAGCTGTGCGAGTGTTGCTTTGCACGTTGCTCTCTGCAAGCAGGTGAATTTAACCCACTGAGAACTACAAATGGTGGGCATGATTCTCGTGCCACTTAGGCCTTGTCAATACGTAGAGCTTTAACGATACCAGTATAGAGAAAGGGAGTAAGCTATACCTGTGTAAGTGCACTTATCTGTAAGGGGAAGCACTGGAGCCCAGTGACTAGAGCCGGGGAGTGGGACACAGGAGACCTGTGTTCTGTTCAGTAAAATGGGGAAAATGATACTGATCTGTTACATCTCGCCAGGGACTCGGGCACCACAGGCCCTCCCGCTGCCCGGCTGCGAGCTTAGCTCCCCGGCGCTGTTCGGGGGTTCCGGCCCCGCACCCTCGGCCTTGAGTCCAGCCCTGGGAGCAGCCCGGCCCCTCTGCGATCCACCCCGGCTGCTTCTGCCCGGCCTGGCCCCAAGCGCCCAGCCCGGCCCCTGAGCCTGCCTGCCGGGACGGGGGAGCCCAGATCCCCAGCCCCGGGCCTGCCTGCAAACAGCCTACCCTCCTGCACCCCAACTCCCTGTCCTGAGCCCCCTGCCTGCACCTCTCATCCCAACTCCCTGCCCTGAGCCCCCTGCCTGCACCTCGCACCCCAACCCCCTGCCCCACAACCCCCTGCCCTGAGCCCCCTGCCTGCACCCTGTACCCCTCCTGCACCCCAACTCCCTGTCCTGAGCCCCCTGCCACACCCTGCTCCCCAATCCCCTGCCCTGAGCCCCCTCCTGCACTCCGCACCCCTCCTGCACCCCAACCCCCTTTCCTGAGCCCCCTCATACCCCCCACACCCCTCCTCTGCCCCAATCCCTTGCCCTGAGGCCCTTCCTGCACACAGCACCCCCTCCCACACCCTGCCCTTTATGATGTTCGCCTTTAAAAAAAAAATTCCCTGGGTGCACACCCTAATGAAATGTGCTGCGCACGCCTGTGCTCCTCACTGTCATGGTCAGACCAGCACAACTTCCAAGTTTAGGCCAGGCCTTGCACTGAGCAGTAACTCCACTGGAGTCAGCGGTGCTGGTTCTCAGCCTGGCTACTCCTGCAGTCATTTGCGCCTGAGCAAAGCGCATGTAAAATGCCACTAAATCAGAAAGGTCCTTTGCAGCCACGTTGTCCTTTCTTGTCTCAAGGACAACACAATGTGCAAAGCGGAGGAGAAGACCCCCATGGATAACAGAGCATTAGGCCCCTAATTTTTAAAGTCTGTGATGAATTATCTCAGCGAGGGACTCAGACTTGGTCCGAATCGCCCTCCGTTGTATTCTAGCTCTTTACTTGTGCTTTAGCAGATGGAATCATCACCAGTTCTTTCGGGCAGTGTCATGGCATGCACCGTATTACAGACTATGTGATCACAGTGGTCCCTTCTGGCCTTACAATCTGTGAGTCTCTGCTCAGTGCTTTGCAACTAAAGAAAAATGAGGTGTTAGAAAAAATATTTGCATCTATAGTTTTCTGCCTGGCTTTCAATGCAGACATTTCCCTGTGCCTCTCAATAAACAGTGGAACAAGAAAGTGTCACATTCTTCTAGTTATTACCAGGTTTGAAGACTTTGTGAAAGTGAGAATGTGCAAGCGACCCCTGTCCGTGTCTGTGCGTATGTGCACTCTTATATGTGTGTGCATTTGGGAGAAAATTCTCTTTTCATTCTAGTGAAATGAATTGGAATAGGAATTCTTTTAACAGCGTCTGCCCATTCTGTGAATATTTTCAAAAGATATTTAAAAATTTTCCCCCCACCTTGAATCAGGTCAAGAAGACAAAATATTCACAAACTAAAAAAACATTGTTTTTCCATTTTGGGTCAATTGAAACATTTCATATTGATAGCTTTGAAATATTTCATTTTTTCTCTTTTTAACCTTTTGCTTTCAATCTAATCAGCTTCAATTCTGAAACAAAAAGTTATTTTGCACCAGAAAACAATTTTTTTCATTTAGAAAAATCTCCTAAAAAAATGTCTTGACAATTTTGAAACATTTTTCTCAACATTTTTTGTTTGTTTTTTAGTCAGGAAATTCCCATTCTTGGTTCAATTAATCTGCATTTTTCAATGAAAAAAACAATTATCAAAGATTTCTCAGCTCCACTTTTTAAGCCTTCTCTATATAACCCCCCACCCCCTACACAGTATGGCCATCTGTCTCCCTCCTGCCAATGGTTGAACCAGGTAAATGAGCCTGCTACTGCGTTTAGCTAACAGAGGCCTTTTAGCTCACGTAGGAAAGGCTCCTGCTTTTAGCTCTATATATAATCACAGGTTCAATCCAGTGTCGCTAGGGCACATTACACCCACACAAAGAAACTGGACCAGTTTAATTTAAATCAGTTTAAGGCTGAGCTCTTCCATTGATATAAATTTGTTTTATATCAATTCATCTTAAACCAGTTGGGAAAACGTTTAAGCTGAACCAAAACAAGGCCGGTTTCCATCAGTGTGATATACTGTGAGATGTCCAGTAATTTTTACAGTAATTTAACTAAATTGATTTTAAAAGTGATTTCAGGCCAAGTCTGCTTTCAAACTTCCATTGGCTTCATTATACTGTTTAATTAAACTAGTTGAAAATCCGGTGTGAGTACTCTCATTTCAGTGTAAGAGTGGCTTATTTCTGTTTAGTTTAACCCAACGCCTAGTCAATTTAACCACAATGTCAGCCTTGACCTGGAATAAAGATGTCCACACAGGAATTGAAACCGATTTAACATAAGCAGCTTAAAAATCACATCACTGCAAGTTTCTCATGCAGACAGGCCCAAAACTAAATTAGCTGAAGTTGGATTTAAGCAAAATCAATTTTAATCCCCTTTAAACCAAAATCTGAGGCCTGGTCTACGCTACAGAGTTAGGTTGACGTAAGGCAGCTTACATTGAGTGTCTACACTATAAAATTGTAAGTCGTCCACTACACCAATCTAATAACTCCACCTCCACAAGAGGCATAATGCTTCAGTCAATGCAGTTAGGGCATGAAGACACTGCGTTACTTACATTATCACCCGGCAGAGGAAGCACCAGGCCTCCCCCATGGAGTAGTGGACCCGGTAATGGGCCCCCTAGTAGGGCAGCAGGAAGGACACCCTCGAGCGCTGTCCCATCACGCGCTGCCGGAGTTGCACCTGCCGGCAGAAGGACAGGACGTGACGGAGGGTGGGGTCCTTGCAGCCCAACGGGAGAGGCTGATGACGGACATGGTTTTCCCCAGGGTGGAGAGGGAAGACAACAGGACAGCGTTGTGGAGGAAGGGCGGGACAGAGGTCAGTAGCACCCATATGCCAAGGTCCTCCAGGAGGGGTTCCTTCATCCCGACTACCAGGCCCTTCTCCACCGCCTCCTGAGCGGCGGCCTCCGATGCCAGGAAGAACACCATCTTCCCATACATTTTGGAGGCTGCCATGATGGCCTTGGGCCCCACCACCTGTGCCAACGCCCACATGTAAGTTTCGACATAGGGTGAGGTGGACACCAGGAGGCAACGGATGCCATGCCTCCTGGTCAGCGAGAGGAAGGGACCCCAGCCACCAGGGATGGTACCGGAGGTGACGGTCAGGGCAGACGGCGCAGTAGCACGTGGAGGGGCTCCACGCCTCTCCCCCAGTCCCCCCATAGCAGCAGAGGCTATCACCACCCCAGGAGCACAGGTGTTATAGTCACTCAGTCCAAAAGCAGCAACGCACCCCCTTCACAGTGTCTCACAGCACCCCCCCCAAACACACACACACTTGGATCCTGCTGACCTGAGTCTGCCTGCTCCACACCTGGAGCTGGGCATGTGTGCAAGACTCTGTCCCTCTCACTTGCTATCTTGTTGTGCCTGGCATGGAGGGGCAGGGCCCCAGGATGTTTCTGGGGCAGGGCCACTCCTTGCATTGTGTCAAGGCTGGGTGCAGCCTCACCACTGAGTCCATGTCCCGGGAGGGCTGCAGGGTGATCTCCCACCTCCATGCAGCCAGTGTCCTGTGCTCCCCACTGCCATGCTGTAGGGATTTATTTATTTACAGACAAATAAAATATGCAGAATTTTGCAGAATTTTAAAATAGTGTGTAAGAATTTTTTTTTTTTTTTTTTTTTTTTTTGGGCACAGAATTCCCTCAGGAGTATTTTTACAAGAGGAGACTGGAAGAGCTTGTCTTGTTTAGTCTAATAAACTGCAAGCAGAGAGGGGATCTGATTGCTTTCTATATCTCACACACCAGGATGGCAAACACCGGGGAGGGAGAAGAGCTATGGAAGCTAAAGGTCACATTGACTCAGGAAGAAATGGGGCTAAAGTGGCCATGACTAAATGTAAATTGGAAATTAAAAGGTTTCTCACCATCAGAGGAGTGAGGTTTTGGAACAGCCTCCCAACTGGAGCGGCAGGGACAAGAAACTGAACTAGTTTTAAAATGGAGCTTGGATTATATGACCGGGTTGCCTGAGAGAGCTCGGGACTGGACTTGATGACCCACAAGTTCCCGTCTAAGCCTTTGTTTGTCCCTGCACTGAGCCTGGGATAAGGCTTCTGTTATCAGACTAGCACCAACCTCCATGAACAGTAGAGAGAAGCACAGGGGGGGATTCTGCAAACTGGGCTGGAGCTATCGGAAATGGCACGTTTGCCATCAGACATGGCATCCCCAGTGTGTTAACAGGAAAGGGCACCAGTCAATGGGGACCCCGGATCATGGACAGTGTCATGGAAAGAAATTATGGGGGAGGGAGGAGGGAATAAGCATGGGGGTGGTTGATGGTGCCTCTCCATTGGATGGAATTTTAATCCAATTCAGCCAATCCTGTTTAAATGCACCTCTTTAGTTAGCTTTGATTAATTTTCCTGAGTGTAGACAAAGCCTTCGGAACTTTGGACAATCCCACCCACATGGATGAGAGCAGCGCCGCTGTGTTGCTCAGGGCTGGGGGGGGGGGGGGGGGGGGGGGGGCGAAAAGGAGACTCTTACTCTACTTCATATTGCCCTAGCTGTGCAATCAGTTATGGATGTCAGCCAGCCAGGGAGAAGGGTTTCAGCTGCTCCTGGACAGAGGCAGGGAGGTAGCTGGGCGCTCCATGGGGAAGCCAAGAGATGCCACACTCAGGTCATGCTGCTGCCTACCAGAGCCCTAGGAATTCTCTCTAGGCAGTGGAAGCACGGGGATCAGAAACATTTTGTTCACACAGGCGTTAGCTGCATACAGGAAGCACTTGGGCTACAGCACCTTCGTCCTTGTGGAAGTAATCTGGTCAGTTAGTTGTGTGTATAGGGCGGTGAGAAGTAAAACCTGCGGATGAGACAGTGATGTCACAGCTGAGGACTCAGGGACTGTATGGATCCAGCTACTTTGTCTCACTGTCTCCTTACCAGTCTGGAGGACACAGGACCCAGCAGCTTCTGAGAAGAAAATCAAGACTGGGATCAGAAGTAACGGAGAGTAAAGGGGACACCTCTAGTTGAATAGTAACGGAGTTCAGTCATGGGTTTACTTATACGTAAGACTTTGTTAACCAAGTCCAGAGTGGAGTTGTGGTGACTGGGGGGTTGTGGCAGTGACCTTCAAAGAGCACCAACCATACTTATCAGCGAGTCCCCCACTCCTTGGGACCGCTACCTGGGGCCGTACGAGTTCTCATCGTCCCTTCCTGACCCATCATTCAGGAAGCTGTTGAGTTTGGATACAGCATAAAACTTTTCCTCTTTTAAACTACCAATGTTGCGGTTTGTATGTAACCACTGCTTCTTAAAGCACAAACCCCTCTGGAATGAGCTAAAAGACTTCCCTGTTAATCAAGGCTGGAGCAGGTCATCAGCTGCTGTGTGGGCCAGTTACCACTAGAGGGGGCCAGTGTGCTGCACTGATCAAATGGGGGGGGGGAGGGTGTCACACTTATTTGAAAACCTAAACGTGGGGGGGTGGGGGAGTATCTGTCAGTGGAGATGGGGCATCTCTTTCTCAAAGCTCCACTCCAGCTCAGCCAGGAGTTTTGGGGCTGGAGGCAGAAATCAGTGTGGGAGATTCTCTGGCCTCTAACCCCCTTTCTACCCAATAAACCCCAGAACCTTGTGACATCTACTGTTGGCCTTTTTGCAGCATTAAAAATGGACCATTTTCCCTCCTTTTTGTTGCTGCTCCAGGACAGCACTTTGCCATTCATCCCATGGCTCCTTCAGAGCCTCTCGTGAAGTACCTGGGCCAAGCCTTGTTAAAAGCTGAAAGAAATGATGTCCACTACTTCTCCTTTAGTCACTATTTTATTGACACACTCAAAGAATTCTAACAGGTTAGTGAGGCATGGTTTCCCTATGGGGAGGCCGTGCTGGTTAGACACTAGCATATATCACTATCTTCTAGATGTTTGGTAACTCTATTTTTGTTTATTGTTTCAACCAGATTTAACAGTTATGGAGAGGTAGGGCTCACTGGTCTGTAATTCCCGAGATCTCCCCCACAGCTTTGGTAAAATCACTTGCAAAAGACATACATAAAAGAGAGTCTTTCACCACTACACTCTGCATTGATGTAGGGATTTCTCCTCAAGGAACTCAAAAGCTCCTTACTCATAGATGAATCCTCACTAGCCCAGATGGACATGGAGAGGGGAAGTCAGTGGAAGGGCTGCCGAGAGAACCCAGGAGTCCGGGCTGCCAGGCTCCTGGCCTAATCACAAAGATGCTGCCTAGATGATTGTGTTAGAAAATAAAAGCTTTTCCCAGAAAGCAGTTCATGCTTACAGTGAGGTTGTCTGCGTATCTGTCTGACAGCAGAAGGAATGAATATCATTCCCTGCCTGTGTCTGCTCCACAATATTTTGTCTAGCCTAGGTGCTCTCATTATAACTGCACATTAGTGACGGGAGTGCTTTTAAAACTGGGACTGCTAGACTGTATTGAACCTGGGATTCCTCTAGCCCCGTGGCTTATCTCTGACACTGGGCTAGCACCAGATGCTGCAGAAGAAAGTGAGAGGAATCCATATTTGGGATCATCTACCCACATGAATGTCTCATCCTAAATCACAATAGCTAGAGATCACCTTAAACCCTGGAACTTGAGGTTTAATATCCCTTCCAAACCCACTTCTTTATCATTTACTATCATACAGGTCTTGTTAGGCACATAAACATCCAGTCCCTCTTTGAATCTGGCTACGTTCTCAGCTACAGCAGCATCCTGTGGCAGGGAGTTCCACAATCCCGTGTGGAAGAGTCCTGAGGAATTGGTGGAGGGCTGGAACCCAGCTCTGCAAAAGGACAAAGATGGACATGCAGGTGGCAAAAAAAGGCGAGGGACCAGCTAGAAAAGGAGGCTAGACACAAAGATCAGGAATTTGATGAGCTTAAAAGTCTCTAGTTTCCCTCTATAGCTCTTTGAATACAGGAAGAGGCTCTCAGTCTTTGGCAGCCTGGTGATTAGGGCTTTGCTGACTTCTTGAGCCAATCATTGGTTTGAAGCTTGTGGAAACTGTCCATTTCTTCCCACAATTACTTGCCTGTCTCTTAGCTCCTTTCTGATTCACAACAGCACCTCACCTTTCACCCTGTGGTTAACAAAATCACTTAGCAGTCTTCTTAGTCATTAGACCCCAAAGCACAATCTCTCATTTCCCCTCCTTCTTAATGACAGAACTCCAGAGAAGTCCGCAAAATGAGTTTCGTTTCAGTGTCATCAAAGATTTGCTAAAGATGAGAGCTGTACAATGGTCACCTAACAGAGAGAGTGAAATCTCAGCCACTTGGGATATGCAGAACAAGGCTGGGCCAATACACCGTTCGGTCAGTCCTGCATTGGATGGGGAGGCAATGGAAGCAGTACATGTAAGTGATGTAAACCAGAGACTGTTGTTGACTGTGTCTGTGCAGCACCGGGTGTGACAGGGCCCTGATCTAGGTCGCTGTGTGTCTGTGCAGCGCCCGGCACAACTGGCCCCTGATCTCGATCACTATGTGTCTGTGCAGCGCCCGCCATGACGGGGCCTGATCTCGGTCACTGCGTGTCTGTGCAGCACCTGGTATGATAGAGCCTGATCTTGGTTTGCCTCCATGTGCCATGGCTGGATCTTGCTTCCCTGATGGAAGGGATCAACCAGGGCCACCCTGATGCAAGATAGGCTGGGATCTCCAGCACGTCCATGGGGTGTCCTGGTGGTCTCCATATTGGGTCCCCTAGCTCGGAGGGGAGAGGGGGGAAGCAGGGAGGGGTCCCAGTGTTGCCCTGGCTCCTGGGGATCCCCATATGGGGTCCATAACTGGAGATGGGGCTTGGTGATCCCCATATGGGGGGCACCCCAGCTCAGGTGGGCCTGCAGAGTCCCAATACAGGGCCCCCAGCTCAGGTAGGTCCCAGCATAGCTCCCTTAGCTGAGATGAGTCCTCTGGTGTTTGCTGAAGGCTGAGCTCCAGCAAAAGCTCTTGCCGCACTGGCCGCACTGGTAGGGGCGCTCGCCGGTGTGGGTGTTCTGGTGCTCCAGCAGGTTGGCGCTCTGGCGGAAGCTCTTGCCGCACTGGGGGCAGCGGTAGGGGCGCTCACCAGTGTGGGTGCGCCGGTGCTTGATGAGGTGGGAGTTCTGGCAGAAGCTTTTGCCGCACTGGGGGCAGGTGTATGGGCGCTCACCGGTGTGGGTGCGCTGGTGCTGGATCAAGTTGGAGCTCTGCCGGAAGCCTTTGCCGCACTCGGTGCAGCGGTAGGGCCGCTCCCCGGTGTGGGTGATCTGGTGCTTGGCCAGATAGGAGCCCAGGGCGAAGCTCTTGCCGCAGATGCCACAGCGGTGGAGCTTCTGGCCGGCGTGTGTGCGCCGGTGCTCCGCCAGATTGGAGCTCTGGCTGAAGATCTTGCCACACTCCGGACACTTGTAGGGCTTTTCGCCGGTGTGAGTCACCTGGTGCCGCAGCAGCTTGGAGCTCTGGCCGAAACTCTTGCCGCACTCGGGGCACTTGTAGGGCTTCTCCGCCATGCGGCAGCTGCGGCGGTGCTCAGCCAGCCGGCAGCTCCAGAGAAAGCTCAGGCCGCACTGCGGGCAGCGGAAGGGTTGCTCTCGCTGGTGGTGTCGCAGGCCGGCACTCTGGGCATAGCCCTTGCCGCACTCAGAGCACTTGAAAGGCTTCTCCTCCCCGTCGGCGCTGTGTCGCATGCGCCGGTGCCGGGCCAGCTTGGCGCTCTCCAGGAAGCACTCCCCACAGTCGGAGCAGGTGAAGGCCTCGTCGCCGGCGTGGGTGCGCTGGTGCACTAGCAGTGTGGCGCTTTGGTGGAAAGCCTCCCCGCACTCGGAGCATCGGTAGGGCTTCTCGGCGCTGTGCTGGCTGGCCCGATGGGCAGCCAGGGCGGCGCTCCAGCCAAAGCCCTCCCCGCACTCTCCACAGCGGTAGGGGCCTTGGCCGCCGGTGTGGGTGCGCTGGTGTTTGGCCAGGTCCGAGCTGACCACGAAGCTGCGTCCACACTCCAGGCAGTGGTACGGCTTCTCGCCGGTGTGGGTGCGGCGGTGGGTCACCAGCGTGGACTTGCGGCCGAAGCTGCGCCCGCACTCGTCGCAGCGGTAGGGCCGCTCCCCGGTGTGGGTGCGCTGGTGGTGCACTAGTGTGGAGCTCTGGCTGAAGCGGGCGCCGCACTGGTGGCAGCGGAAAGGCTTCTCGCCGGTGTGGATGCGCTGGTGCTCCAGCAGGGTGGAGCCACGGCTGAACTTCTTCCCGCACTCCGGACAGCTGTGGGGCTTTTCGCCAGCATGAGACTTCTGGTGCTCCAGCAGCGATGAGCTCCAGGTGAAGGCCTTGCCGCACTGGTGGCAGCGGTAGGGCCGCTCCCCGGTGTGGACCCGCTGGTGTTTGATCAGGTTGGAGCTCTGGGCAAACCCTTTGCCACACTCAGAGCACCGGAACGGCTTATCCTCCGCATCGCAGGCCTGCTCACCCGCACCTGCATCACGCCATCTACCCTGTGGCCTCTCAGAGCTCTCGCAGGAATCGTCCCCTTCGGAGCGGGCTGAGAACGGCCCTTCTGGCTCCCCATCGTCGTCGTCCGGCTCCTGCACATCATCAGCCTCCTCGTCCTCACTCAGGGCCCCGTCATCTGGCAGAAGGAAAAGAAAGAGGGAATCCAGACACACGTCAGTCACGCCAAGGGGAGGAAGTATCTAATGGGGAGGGAGGGCCCTGCACTGAGAGTCATAGGTGTCAAGGCCAGAACAGCCCACTGTGCCCATTGAGCCAGGCCTCCGGCCTAACCCAGGCCAGAGACTCTCCCGCAACCATTCCTGCCGCCAGCCCAGTAACTCCTGGGTGAGCTGGAGCGGAGCTTGGAGGAAGACACCTCTAGGGTTGGTCGGGAATTTTGCAGGGCTCCCAGGGCTTGTAGGCTCCCTGGAGGAGCTGGCAGCTACTGCAGTACAAAGAGTAAATAATAAAAAGGGGTCATGCAATGAAAATGAAAGGCAGCAAATTCTAAACCTTTTTCCCACGGTGTATAAATAGCCCATGGAACTCATTGCTACCAGATGTAGTGGAGGCCGAAGCTTAGCAAGACTCAGAGCAGGACTGGCTGTCTGTGAGGATAACAGGAACATACAGAGCTACTTAATGCTAACAGCTTGAGCCAATCTCTAACTATTACAGACCACGATAGGATCTAACATGGCGGCAGATTAGCCCCAATCTGCAACTGCAGGTTCTCCCACCTTCCCCTGCAGCATCTGGTGCAGGCCGCTGTCGGGAGACTGGGCTGGACAGACCTGGGTGCTGATCCGGTCTGGCGACTCCCTACGGTTCTGCTCCCACTGCAGTTTCTCTTCCAGAATTCCTCACCTGTCAGGACAACTCTCAGCTCCTCCCGCTCATCTGAGTCGGCGTCACATAGCTCCTCCCCTCGCTCCATCCACGAGAACTCGGCCGAGTGCGCCATCGGGAAGCTTGGGCATGGGAAAAGAAGACAGGAGACGGCCATTAGCATGGGTGAGACACTGGACCCCAGATCGAGGCTGGTCCCCGCAGGAGACCCGGCACCCAGGGGGAGCTGACAAAGTTGACACATTTTTATTGTGAGCCATAAATCCGTGCCAGCTCAGGCCTTGAAACCACCGTCACAGGGCAGCTGCCTCTTTAAAGGGAGATGGGTCTCGGCCCCACCCAACTGTCCCAGGGGGGTGGGGGAGGAGGAATGGAAAAGGCCATGTGACCCAATCAGGCCTCTAGGGCAGATAAGGAAGAAGCCTGGGAGAGTCAAGGCAGGAAGGCATGGGAGGGGGATTGGCGGGGCTGTAAGCAGTGAGAAGGCTGCTGCAGGGGACACCAGTAGAGAAAAGACTCCAGCTCGGTAAGGGGGACTCCAGGCAGAAGGCCTGGGAGTGCCTGGATGAAGAGTTGGGAAGGATGCATGAAAAGTCGGGAAGGATGGATATATAAACCTCAAAATAGATCAGCTTCCGACTTAGACTCTTAGGGCGTTATTTTGTAGCCGTTTATGATAACAAGCCAGCCCAATATGGGAGTTACTGGTTACGAGAAAGCCTCTGAGAAATTCCTGAGGAAAGAGAAACTATGGCTGCAGGGCCACCCCACGCCTCAAGGGGGAGCTGTGGAGGCAGAGACCATTACACCCCCCCTACAACGCAGCCTGATCCTTTATTATTATTGTAATTTGCGTTATAATCGCACACAGCCCCTGCCCAGAAGAGTTTACAGTCAAACTAGACAAAGGGAGGACAAGACACTAGGCACAGAGCGGGGAAGTGACTTGCCTAAGGTCACCCAGCAAGCCAGTTTTAGAGCTGGGAATGAACCCGGGTGTCCTGTGTCCCAGTCCATTAGATCCCATTGACTCTCAGTGCTGCACATGGATTAATACAGATGGATGCTCCACCCTGCACTGGGCCCCAGTTATTTCGAAGCAGGGGTCCACACAGGTTTAAGGGTCAGATCACATGATCAGGGCCCACACCTGTAGTTAGAACCTTTCCTCTGTGACTCAGGCTTTAGCTACCTTGGGGGTTAAGCAGCAATTCCAGTCCCGGTGCAAATCTCCCATGTAAACCGGGGAACAAGTTGTTTCCATAAACCACCAAGATTTGTATCAGTTTAACTCTGCTTCTGAGCAGGCTCCATCAGTGCAAATAGAGGGTCTCTGTCTACACGGGATGAAGGGCAGATCATCTTGCGCTTAACAGCAAGTGCCTTACAATGAGCATTTGATCCCTGAGCTGGGAGGCTGCTTTGGCCTGGCCCTGAGGTTAAAGATGACTGAAGAGATTATGGCTCTTCAAATCCACACCCTGCACAAGGTAGCACTGACCAGCCCTTTTGCATGGTTCCCACGCAGCTTGCGGTGGCTGGAACAAGGAACAAATTGCAGAGACCGGGACAGGAAAAAATGGGGAAGAACAAACTGTTGGCTGTAAATAAGTTGGCCCATAATTTTGCCAACCCAAAGAGTTAAAAAATGACGAGTCAGGCCCCCAAAATATCAGCGCATCTTAAAAATGGGATTATTTTTATATCGCTACATTTTTTTCATTCTGCTTTTTGAACCTTTAGGACCCCACCCCCCCAAACTACAAGGGCTGGAAATATACTCCCTGCCCCCCACCCTCCCCACCAACATAAAAGCTGAGATTCTCCCATAAATACATGGACCCAGTTGCTGGGGCTTTAAGGGGGGGGGGGGGGGAGACAGTTAAATATCAAGAAGCTCATAGTAAATCACCAGAGCTGGCAACACGGGGTGAACGAGTTATTTGATGTAAATAAATTGGCCCAGCTACAGCACATAGGGATTACTGGACTGGCTCAGCACCATGGTGTGTCTAGCCCAGTCTCTTCTCTCTGACAATGCCCAGGACTTGATACTGCAGAAGAAGGTGCAAGAAACTCCACCGTTTATAGATTCATAAATGTTAAGGCCAGCAGGGCCCATCATGCCCACCCAGTCCAGCCTCCTGCCTGACCCAGGCGAGAGAATCTCCCCCAGCGATTCCTGCCTCTGGCCCAGTAACTCCTGGCTGAGCTAGAGCGGAGCGTTGAGAGAGAGACGCCCCATCTCCACTGACATGGAAAATCCACCCCATCCCTAATGGAGCTGTTCCAACCCTTAATTCTCCTCCCTGGTAAACACTGGCTCCTTAGTCTTACCCTGAATTAGTCTCCCTTCAGCTCCCTGCTATTGGACCTGGCTCTCCCTTTGCCTGGAGGTTAAAGAGCCCTCTGCCCTCAGAAATCCCCTCCCCGTGTTGGTGCTTAAAGACCAGGATCACGTCAGCTCTTAACCTTCTCTGAGTAACCCGAATACATGGAGCGCCGTTAGTCTCTTCATGGACGACGGGTTTTCCAGACCGTGAATCATTCTTGTAGCTCTTTTCTGAACCTTAACAATTTCTCAGCATCCCTTCTGAAGTGTGGGCACAGTATCCAAGAGTGGTCTCAGCAATGCCATAGAAAGAGGTACTCGGTATTTCCCTGCTTACATAGCCAAAGATCAAGTTTGCCTTTTCAGTACAGCATTGCACTGGGATCTCCTATGCCAGATGTTTTCACCCGTCCTTTCTAGAGTCTCTGCTTTCCAGGATACAGGTTCCCATCCTGGATGTGTGACCCATATTCTTCGTTCCCATGTGACCATGCATTTGGCTGGGTTCCAACACACATTGTTCAAATGAGCCCAGCTTACCAAGGAACATGGGTCTTTCTGTGTCCCCACCACTATCTACCACTCCCACCTACCCTTGTGTCGTCTACACATTTTGTCCGCAGTGATTTTTATATTTTCTTTATGATTCATGTTGCAATTAGAGTTTCAGTTAGAGGAGACAGGGACAGATGCCTCCACTCCTTGGTAATAATGGAGAGCACAAGCAGATTGTGTAAAGATGCCTGTATTATTATTATACTGCGGGTGCCTGTCCAGCACCCACAATTGGAGGCGGGTTTTCCAGGCACTTAAGTCAGTGGTTAAATTTCCTAGAGCACTAAGCACGCAGCAGCTCCCACTGAGAACAGTTAACACAGAGTCCCCTTGGCCCTAGCATTTTGCTGGTATGTCATCTGTACTTTATTGTGTGCCTGGTGTGTCTAGTTAGACTGTAGGTGCTTCAGGGCAGGGACTCTCACTGCATGTCTGTGCAGCGCCCAGCACGACTGGGTCTCGTATTCGGTCACTGAGTCAGCCCGCGACGTGCCTGGCATAACAGGGCCCTGATCTCAGCCACGGCGTGTCTGTGCAGCACCCAGCAAGACTGGGCTCCATATGTGGTCACTGTGTGCCTGTGCAGTGCCTGTGCATGACAGGGCCCAATCTCAGCGGAGATTTAGACTATACTGTAATGCCAATATATAACAACAAAAAGATTGGCTCTTGCATCTAAAAGGTATGCAGGGGCCTGACAGATTACTCATATTTACTATTGATATAATAGCACAAGAGACCATAACTGAGATCAGGGTCCTGTCACTGCTAGCGCTGCACAGACCTGGAATCGCTGGTCCAATAAGGGCTCCCTGTGTAACCAGCCAAAACCATTCTCCTCACTTTACTGTTGGAGAAACTCAGGCCCAGGCAGAGTCCATGATGTGTCTGAGGTCACCCAGAAAGCATGTGGCAGCAGGAACTGAACCCAAGTTTCCACAGTCCCAGGCCTAGACCTTAACCCCAAGGCCACCCTGGCAGAGCAGTAAGACCATCATGTTCTCGGTCCTATAAAGGGCAAACGGGCTTGGGCCATTACCTCTCCTCGCTGGGATCCTCCAGTGGAAAGGGGCCATTGCTCTCAGTATCAACCAGAAAGTCGGGGTACGTCACAGACTCCACCTAAGACAGGAGAGACAAGGGAGTGTGGAGGGATTTACACTGGCCTGATGGGACGGGGCGGCCCAGCTGAGATGTCCCACTGAGCCAGCTCCTCAGAGAGAGAAAGGGGTCACTCCCAGCACCAAGAACCTCTGTGCTGGAAAGGCCCACACACACCACTGGCCCCTGCCCCACAGGGAAAGTGCACACACAGGGTCCAGGGTAAATATCACAATCACATGCACATACACACACACCCTTCCTCCAATGTGGAAGGACCACACATACAAGCATCCTGGGATAAGTTACACACACTGGGGTCTGGGGCAAATCACACACACCTGCAGAGAGACACACACTGGCGTCTGGAATACATCATACATGCATATGCATGGATGTGCACGCACACACAGGTCCCAGGGTAAATCACACACACTGGAGTTCTGGGGGTAAACGACACAGGCATGTGTGCAGACACACCGTGGTCCCAGGAGTAAATCACACAGGTGTGTGCACACATGCATCCCAGGGGTAAATCATACACACCCACACGGGAGTCCCAGGGGAAATCATGCATGCGCACACACACACACTAGGGTCTGGGGTAAATCACACAGCTGCAGGAGCACACACGTCCCAGGGGTCTATCACAGACACGCACCGCATCTCTCTCTCTCACACGTCCTGGGGGCAAATCTCACACACACAGGGGTCCTGGGGGCACAGCACACACACACACACACCCCCACACACAGGGGTCCTGGGGGCACAGCACACACACACCCATACACACACGGGTCCTGGGGGCACAGCGCACACACACGGCTCCTGGGGGCACAGCACAGACAGACACACACACACGGATCCTGGGGGCAAATCTCTCTCTCGCACACACACACACACACACACACACACACACCCTGGTGTGGGGCGGGTGGCACGCAGGGGGCAGGCGGGTCCTGTCCCCCCCGCACGCCCCTTCCACAGGCCCCGGCCCCGGGCAGCGCGACAGGCTCTAGCAGGCCGCAGGGCCAAGCCAGCACCCGGCCCCTTTGTCCATCCGCGCCTGCCCCGCCGCCGCTCTCGCCTCGCCCCGCGGCCTCCCCGCCGCGCACCCGAGCCCAGGGCGTTCCCCGCCCCGCCGCGGAGCCAGGCCCGGGGTACGAACCTGGCTAGAGGAGAACGGCGGGGGTGGCCTGGCCTAGCCCCCACCCCAGGCCGATCCCTCGGTGCACCGAGTCCGGGGGTCTCCCCGCTACAGCCCCGCACCCCGATCCCGCTGCACATGGGGCCCCCAGTGCACTCAAATCGGGGTGTCCGAGTCCTCCCGTCTCCCCCCGCACATGGGCCCCTCCCCGGTGCCCTGAATCCAGGTGCGGAGGTCGTGGCATCTCGCCCCGCTCCCCCCCTTCCCCGGGGCCCTGGACCTGGGTGCTGAGTGCATGGGACTCACCGTCTCCATAGCCCCCCGTGCTCAGCGCCAGGGCCCGTTCCGCCCCAGCCTGCGAGGGGTTAAAATCCACAGACAATGCTGGGACTGGGAGGAAGGGGGCTGGGGGGGGAGGAAGGGAAGAGGCTCCTCCTCCCCGCTCATGCCATTGGCAGATCTCCCGGCCCCATCAGGAGCAGGCAGAGCGATTGATTTGCCTGCGTAGCGTGTCTGCTCCAATGCCCCTATTGCCCTGGCTTCTTCCCGTGCCCCCCACGTTTCTGGGAGATCAGTGAGTCCCCAGCCCCCGTGTGAGACGCTGTCCCCTCCCAGTCACTAACTGGGGTACTGGGTGGGGACGCCCATTTCCAGCTCCGCCACTGACCTGCTGTGTGACCTTGGACATGTCACTTCCCCTCTTTGTGCCTCCATTTCCCCTCCCACTCCTTTGTCTGTCTGGTCTAGGAACAGTGTAAACTCTTCAGGGCAGGGATTGTCTAGCACCACAGGGCCTAGAGCCTCTAGGCACTTCACTTCCGCAATACAGCCAACCAGTGCCTTCTGCACACAGTCCCCAGGCTGAATCACTCCAGTGGCTTCTCTACCAGCCCTTACAGGCTGTTTGTTAGCACTTGCTGTCGGGCTGAATTTAATTAACGCCTGCCAAAACAAAGCAAACCTGGAGTTAATTAGATTGAGCTCCCTAATTCCATGTGTCATTGCACCTTTAAAGTGTAGCCAGGCAAAGCCACAAAATTACTATGTTCTGCCTCCAATCCAGTGCTCTGAGCTACAGATGCAGTTAGTCTACTCCAAAATATTGTCGTGTGTCTGGTCATTAACCAAGATAGTGAGGTGCCTCTTTTTGGTTTCTAGATGCATGTGCAATGGTTAACCACTAGCCTAGGACCCAGGGAGACTTGGGTTCAACTCTCGACTGCATTACAGACTCCCTGTGAGACCTTGTGCAAGTCACTTAGACCAAGTCTGTGCTAGAAATTGTTTGCTGATATAGCTGTAATAGCAGACACAATTCATTCTGACAAATAGGTGCTTTTGCTGGCATATTTGTACTGGTTCCACAAATGAAATAAGCTTAATTGACAAAAGCATTTTTATGCCAATATAACTGTGTCTAGACTAGGGCTTTTGCCTGTATAGAATTTTTTTTTAATTGCACCCCTAACTGGTGTTACTATGCCAGCAAAAGTTTCTACTGTATACTCGCCCTCAGTTTCTCTGTGCCTCAATTCTCCATCTGTAAAAATAGGAATATCTCCCTACCTCAAAAGCGTGTTGTAAAGATAAATACATTAAAGATTTACGTAGTTACTATGGTGAAGGCGGACCCTGTAAAGTATCTGAGATAGATAGACATGAAAACTATGTTCTTAAAATTGCAAAGTCAGATACACAACTATTAGGAAATGCCAGAGTTAAGGTTACCTGAACATTAACTCTGCCCCTTTGTGCACATGCATTAAAGTGCAATCTCTCCAAGGTGCTCTCTCGGCATTTATACTTCCTGTGACATGGACTGCCACTTATCATCTGTCTGTACAGCACCTACTGCAAATGCAACTAATAAATAATAATTGTAATGGGGCCCAATGTGATTGAGACCTTTAGGAATTACCACAATATAAATGTTAAATAAAACCAATAGCAATAGTTGAATTTTTTCAAGCAAAAAGCATTTTTGTTAGAAACTGCCTTTAGAAATATATATATGTTGTGAAAAATTGACAGTCAAAAATGTTGATTTTTTGGTGAAAAAATACTCTTTCCTTTTAATTTTTATTTATTTTAAAAATTCTTAAAAATGATTTCAACATTTTTATCAAAAACACTGATTTTGTTTTCCAAAAACTAGGCATTTGGTAAACAAAAAATTTCAGTAATATTTTTGATTAAAAAAAAATAAATTGTAAAGAATTTGTAATACAGACACTCCCCGACTTACGCAAGCGTTCCGTTCCGGAACACCTTGCGTAAGTCGGGAACATATACCTGACAATTACGCACACACACACACAAAAATAAAAGTTTACGGAACTTTTGGAACTTTTCCCGTAAGTCCGGATTTGCGTAAATCAGGTTTGCGTAACCCAGGGAGCATCTGTAAATTGCCAAAAATACAAATTAAATTTGTATCAGTTTCAAATATTTTGAAACAAAAAATTGACATCTTTCCTTAAAATGGATTTTTATCAGTCCTAGTTGTTAATCAACTTTAATATTCATTATATTAATAACATATTAATGCATCATATACTTTCCCCCCAATTGGGGCAGAGTTAAGGTTGCATAGACAACCTTAATTCTGATATTTCTTAACTTTTGAATGCTTGACTTTGTAACTTTAAGAAAATCCATTTAATACAGTTTTGCAATGTAGCTGGGGGATATAGTTTCCCAGATTTTTTTAGAAAAATGACACAAAACTACCAAGAAATTCCAACATGTGGGGTAGTAATGACCCCAACACCTCCAGTGGAATTTGAATCCAGGCTTTGAAATAAATATCTGTGTCAGCCGAACGTTATTTACTTTGATGTGTGTGGTCCTAATAGTGATCTGCTGGTTTCTTTTCCTTGTCTAAGGTAATCAGGACTCCTGGGTTCTATTTGTGGCTCAAGGAGGGGAGTGGAATCTAGTGGGTGAGAGCAGAGGGGTAGGGTGCAAGTCAGGATGCCTGAGCTCCCAGCTCTAAAAAGAGGTGAATTCTAGTTGTTAGCGCACTGGACTGGGACTCAGGATTGTTGGATTCTATCCCTCTCTTGGGATAGGCAGTGCGGTCCTGTAGGTTAGAGAAGTAGGAACTGGGAGTCCTAGCTCTTGCCTGTGACATTGTGCAAGTCATGTCCCCTCTCCATGCCTCAGTTTCCCTTTCTATAGCACCGGGACAATGATACTCCTTGTAAAGTGCTCTGCCTACAGATTATTACATTTGTGTTTACCACAGATCTCAGTAACTGCTGGATATGCTGAGTAAGAAAAACAAGGCAGCTTTGAGCCCATCACTTTATGAATCCTATGGAGCAGGTGCTCTAACATAGTGCGAATGGGGAAGGATACCTCTAGGGTTTGTACTAACCTTGATTTCCTTGCAGAGGCGGTGAAGATGCAGCTGTAGAAAGCTCAGCCTTCCTCCTCGGAGTCTGTCTTTGGGGTTGTTAATGTCTTTGCTGTTACAGATTGTCCCAATTGTTATGCAGACAGGTCGGGAGTGTTGGGACAGAGACCAAACCATCAGACAGGTGGGATTTCCAAGGAGGGGCATCTTTGTGTATTCCCAACTAGTACATTTATTTTGTTTCCAATGTATTAACATTGTTTTCCTTGTCCCGCCCTGACAGCTGGGACTCTACGCACCCCACCAGCTTTTTCCAAACCAACCCGCTGATATCACCCAAATATCACACAAAGTGAAAGGCCAGGCACTGAGCAGGATATAGGAGACCTGAGTTCTGTTCTTGGCTCTATCACTGAAGTGCTATATAACCTTGGACAAGTCCCCTCGGTGGCCCACTCTTTGTTTATTCAGACAGTGAGCTCTTTTGAGCGGGGACTGTATCTCACTTTGTGTCTGTGCAGCCAGGGGGCCCCAACCTCAGTCACCGTGTGTCGATGCAGCACCAGGAACAATGAAGCCTTAATCTCGGCCACAGTGCGTCTTGGCAGCAACAGAGCCAACATATCATTCATCGTGTGCTTTGCAGCCCCTGCTTGTTGTGTGTCTGTGCACTGCCCAGCATGGCCAGACCCTGATCTCTGTCACCACGCAAAGCGCTCAGATACTACAGCGATGGGTGCCATATGTCCCTCAGATAGATGTGTCTGTGCAGGACCTCACATGACAGGGCCCCAATCTCCATGGGACCTTTCAAGCACAACTGTACTATAAATAATAGCAATCATAAATTAAGTCTGCCACCAGTCAACCTCCCACAACCTACTCAGCTGTAGAAGCCTGGAAACAAAAGCTTTGAAAATCCCATAGCAATCCCGTTGGTGCACTGGGCTGGAGTCTCAACCAGCTGGGATCGTATCCAAGCTCGTAGTCCGCTTAATCTATCTGGCAGGATGATCAGAATGAGATTCAGGGCAGGTGAATGCCTGGAGTGCGTTAGGGGGTGGATGGACAGGCAGAGGGGTGAGATGTATGGGGAGAGACAGTTAGATAGATAGGTGCATATGGTGATAAAAAGACAGAGGGGCAGTAGGGGGATGAACAGGTAGAAGAGTAGGGCTAAGGAAAGACAGACAGTGTAGTGTTTATGGGGACGGATGGATGAATAGATGGAGGGGCTTGTTATGTTGTTATGGAATGGATGGATGGACAGACAAGGGGATGGTGTGTATAGGGAGTGATGGATGGAGGGAGAGAGAGAGAGAGAGTGGGGGAACATATGATTAGATAGATAGATTAGATAAAGCATGTCTGGGGTTGGATAGAAGAACAATGCTAAGGTGAGACAGACATAGTGTTTTTGTAGCTGGGTAACCTGTCTCCTTCTCTATCCAGGAGAACAATGCAGTAGTCCCATCATCTCTGCATTGCGGTACTGCTGTTAAATTGTGGTGCTGGGGCCATCCCCATCTCACATGTACTGGGAACCCCCAGCTGCATCACAACACCTTGTTATAGCAAACTCTGCCTCTTGTCCCCAACTAAGCTGGCGCTGTGCGCTTTCTGCAAGCCTCTGGCCTCTCCTTCTTGCTGCACCGCTGGTGAGAAATGAGCAGACCCCTGCTGCGGAAGGCCTCCCCGCATCCCGCACACCGGTAGACCCGCTCGGCCGCATGGAGCCTCTGGTGCCTCGTCAGGTTGGAGTTGCGCCCAAAGCTCTTGCCACACTGGTGGCAGCGGTGGGGTTTCTCGCCAGTGTGGATCTGCTGGTGTCTTGTTAGGGTGGAGCTCTGGCTAAAGCTCTTTCCACACTCGCTGCATGTGAAGGGGCGTTCGCCACGGTGAATCACCTGGTGGATCAGGAGGTGGGAGTTCCGGACGAAGCTTTTCCCGCACTCAGTGCAGTGGTGGGGCCGGTCCCCCCGGTGGATCCGCTTGTGTCTCAGCAGGTCAGAGCTGCGGCAAAAGGTTTTCCCACACTCAGCACATTTGAAAGGCCTGGGCTGGGGTTCGGGCTTCCCCAAGTCTGGTAGGGGAGGGGCTGATTCCACCTGCCTTTTCCCAATGGGGCTCCCATGCTGCCTCCCCACCCTGCGCTGAGTCCGTGATGCCTTCCCTTTGTATCTTCCCAGGGACACCCTGCGTGGCCCTGCCATCTCTGTCTCCTCCCGCTGGGGACTTGCGCTTGGCACCTCCAGCTGGGGACTTGCGCTCAGCACCACGTCACCTGATGGAATGAGAGGAGAGAGAATCCAGAGGTAAGTGGGGGGGGAGGGGGGGCGGGGAGATGTGTTGTCAGCTTTCATGATATTTGCTCTCAAAGCGCCCAGTTCCTGGAGTCATGTGATTATTGGAAAAGCTTCATTTTTTAAAGTGAGTCAATTTCTAGCCCTACTATTTGAGGAGAAAAGCTGGAAAATGTTAACCCCTAATAGCTCAAAATCCAGACAGTGAATAAACAGAACCCAGAATGTACTAGTATTTTTTAAAAATCATGTTTTTTAAGCCACTCACATGATTTTGGGGTTAGCGATATTTGTAAAGGGAACTGCAACTGTTAACAGATCTGAAATCTACAGCCAAATTCACTCCCCCCTCCCCACCACACATACTGAACCTTTTTCAGAGAGAAGGGAGCAATTCAGCTATTCCAAAACTCAGTGGGAGTTGGGCTACTGACTCCTTCAGGGTCCATCATTAGTCATTATTTCCAAAGAAGGGCAACAAACATGACAAAGGGGTTAGAAAACCTGACCTATGAGGAAAGGTTAAAAAACTGGTCATGTTTAGTTTTGAAAAAGACTGAGAGGGGAACCTGATAACAGTCTTCAAATATGATAAGGGCTGTTATAAAGAGAATTGTGATCAATTCTTGTCCTACCTTCAGTGGACATGGAGAACAAGTAATGGGCTTAATCTGCATGAAGGAAGATTTAGGTTAGATATTCGGAAACTTTCTAACTAGAAAGGTAGCTACGTTCTGCAATAAGTTTCTGAGGGAGGCTTGGAATCCCCATCATTGGAGGTTTATAAGAACAAGTTGAACAAACACCTGTCAGGGATAGTGTAGGTTTACTTGGTTCTGCCTCAGCACAAAGGACTGGACTTGATGATTCTCAAGGTCCCTTCCATCCCTACATTTCTATGAGTTTAAGGGTTTGCTCAGAGAATGAAAAAAGAATTTATTTGTAGATTTTAAGGCCACTATGTGAATACCCTCATCTACAGGTCAAAACCCAGAAGTGTTATCGTTATAATAGGACAGTGCCATCCTAATGTATCTGAAGAAGCAAGGAGGTATTCCCCATTCCTGACACTCACAGCATGTGAACCTCCCAAATAACTTATATCCCAGACATTGCAAGGTATTTACGCACTAGATATGGTAAACATTCATATGCCCCTTCATGCTTTGACCACCATTCCAGAGGACATGCTTCCATGTTGGTGACGCTCGTTAAGAAATAATGCATTAATTAGATTTGTGACTGAACTCCTTGGGGGAGAATTGTATGTCTTCTGCTCTGTGTTTTACCTGCATTCTGCCATATATTTCATGTTATAGCATCATCTCAGATGATGACCCAGCATGTTGTTTATTTTAAGAACACTTTCACTGCAGATTTGATGAAACGCAAAGAAGATACCAATGTGAGATTTCTAAAGATAGCTACAGCACTCAACCCAAGATTTAAGAATCTGAAGAGCCTTCTAAAATCTGAGAGGGATGGGGTTTGGAGCATGCTTTCAGAAGTCTTAAAAGAGTTACACTCCGATGCGGAAACTACAGAACCCGAACCGCCAAAAATGAAAATCAACCTTCTGCTTGTGGCACCTGATTCAGATGATGAAAATGAGCATGCGTTGGTCTGCACTGCTTTATCGTTATTGAGAAGAACCCATCATCAGCATGGACACGTCCTCTGGAATGGTGGTTGAAACATGAAGGGACATATGAATCTTTAGCACATCTGGCACATAAATATCTTGCAACCCTGCCTACAACAGTGCCATGTGAATGTCTGTTCTCACTTTCAGGTGACACTGTAAATAAGAAGCAGGCAGCATTATCTCCCGTAAATGTAAACAAACTTGTCTGAACGATTTGCTGAACAAGAAGTAGGACTGAGTGGACTTGCAGGCTCTAAAGTTTTACATTGTTTTGTTTTTGAGTGCAGTTATATAACAAAAAAAGGTCTACATTTGTAAGTTGCGCTTTCACGATAAAGAGATTGCACTATGGTACTTGTATGAGGTGAATGGAAAAATACTATTTCTTTTGTTTATCATTTTTACAGTGCAAATCTTTGTAATAAAAATAATATAAAGTGAGCACTGTACACTTTGTATTCTGTGTTGTAACTGAAATCAATATATTTTAAAATATAGAAAAACATCCAAAATATTTAATAAATTTCAATTAGTATTCTATTGTTTAACAGTGTGATTAAAACTGCAATTAATCGTGATTAATTTTTTGAGTTAATTGCGTGAGTTAACTGTGATTAATCGACAACCCTACTTTGTATATTTTGACATGTGTGGATAATTTGTGTTTTAACTGTTATAAGCTTTAACTTTTTGAATCTTTGTGTCTATTGTCATTTAATAATTATTGCCTGCTGCCCAAGTTGTCTGAGTCTCTCATAATTTCCTGCAACTTTGAAAATTTAAATCGATAAAAACAAAAAATGCTTAAAAACAAACTGATATTATCAGTCCAAATTATAAAAAAAAATGAAAATCAAATTCTACGAAGCCTAATTATGATACAGTCTTTAATTACACGATCACATACACTTTTTTCCACAGAACCCCTGCCTCCTTTAGTGCATAGGATGGTCTGTGCTGTGGGGATGAGTCAGGGTTTTGTAACAAAGGAGGCTGTACGACAGTTGGCTCATTTGTCACCGAAGTTGGAAGGTGTACAGAGAATGAGGCAAGGGATTGAAGGAAGAGAAAGGAAGGTCTCTTGGTTGAGGCAGTTAAATGCTGCCCTAGAGAAATGGATTCTGTTCTTGCCTCTGCTATAGAGTTCCTATGTGATGCCGGGTAAATCACTAAACCAAATTTTCACAGGTAGCCATTGTGTGTTCCTCATTTTCTGGGTCCCCAACCTGAGTCACCAGGGGTCAGAGCTGCAGATGTGCTGAGCACGCAGCTGCAACTTGGATCAATAGCTGTGCTTTGATAATAGCAAGTGCTATAAAAATGCTAAGTAAGCTGGGCCTGGGAATCTCAAATTGGAAACCCAAATTTGGAAGAGACTTTTTGACAACTTTGGCCTTCATTCCATAGATGTAAAGTGGGGATAATACCATTTCACCTCACAGGGGTTTATGAAGAGAAATTCATTAATGTTTGTAAAAAACTAAGATATATGATGAAAGCAGCATAGAAAAGCCCATGAGAAAATTAATAATTCTGTATTCAATGCAGGGTTTGGATGGTGTGCAGTTAATAATGACTGAAGTCCCACTCTGAAGGAGAAGGATAAAAATAAATATTAACCTACCCATCCTGTGATCACCATCCATCATGTGCTCTGAATGAGGCCGGGGGCCTGTGGAAAAAAACAGTATGCAATAATGTAATTAAAGAGTGTATCATAATGCGTATGCATGAGGACAAATTATAGGTTAATTGATTTTAAGGCTTGGAGTGACTGTTATGATTATCTGGTCTGTGTTATACCAATAAAAACTAGCAGGATCTTATTAAAGGGGACAAGATAAAGATGCCTCATTTATTATGATAACAATTTGATTTATGACCAATAACTAATATCTTAATCCGTATACACACACACATTATACCTAATACCTATACACACACACACACATTTACACACACACACATCCATCAGATGTTCTGCAGCTGCTGCATAGTTACCAGTCCTGCTTGAGTCTGTGGCTTGAGTTTGCAGCTTGGGTTCGTGGCTTGTGGCAGCTAACTGGCCAGGAAAGCCGGGCACAAGGATGAGCTGGGTCTCTGTTGGGCATGCACCGATGCCCTTCCATGTTGGCAGCAGAATGTTACCCTCCTCCAAAGTTTTCCATCTCACCCATCCTTTTTGTAGGCTTTAGTTTGAATCCAGAGTCTATAGGTCTTGCTGTGTCACGCTGCCTCTGGGTTTGGTGATTGATCACCTGTCAATTGCAGACATGACTTTCAGCCTCGGACCGGGCTTTGATCTTCCTTCTATTGTACCTTTTCTTTTTAGGATGGATTCTTCTTACTTTGTTAGGGCTCTTGTCTGCATCTTCAGCCTTTGGTGTTCGAACTCTATTTAATCAGGACAGGCTGGGGCTGGAGGTTGATTCCATCATCCATACATACCTCATTCACACATCTAAACTAAACTAATAAGATTACAGCAGGGTTTGCAAAAATGAAGGTTGCAGCAAGCCCTTACAAAATGGAGTAAGTGTTTTAAAATGGGGTTTGAATTACAATATGGCAAACAGTGAACAGAAGTTACAATATAGACAAGTATAATGGATGGCAAACAGTGAACAGAAGATACACTGTAGGCAAGTGTAATAAATGGTGAACAGAAGTTACAATACTGAAACAGTGCAAGTCTCAGTGATTTAAGCAGGAATTGGATTGATAGTGAAACTTACAAAGGCAGCTGACTGAACAGCTATGGCTCTTAACAAGCATCTTAATTGTTAATTAGCCAGTTATTGGGGTAACCAGTTTTATGAATGAATATTGTTTCATTCATAAAACTTTACTTATGAAGTTACATTAATAAAGTAAACAATTAAAAACAATTTCATTCATCAGTCCTACATCTGTCCTCCTGCGTAACCCAGGTCAGAGAATTTCACCCAGTGATTCCTGCATTGAATCTCTGTGTGGGTGAATCTCTAGTCAGCATGTTGGGGACTTAGCTTCCTACATCAGATGCTGCGGATGCCCCCCTTGTAATCTGGGAGCTTGGCTTGAGCAATTGCTGCTCACTTGGGTATTAACTTTTCCTTTCTAATTTCTGAATAGTGATATAAATCCCCTAGACTTTGATGTTTTTTCCTCATAATGAAATATTGATCCGAAAATCCCCTCAAATTTCCCTCATTGTCTAATTATTAAATATTGATAGAAAAATCTCAAAATTCACGTTTTCCCTCTCTAATTAGTGAAGGAGATAAAATCCCCTTCATTTTTGAGGGAAACTGTTTCCCTGATTTAATTATCCCAAAATGGGGGCAGAGGGGCTTAAACTCCCTAAGGATCAACTTTTTCTCTTATCTTCAAGGCAGGGTCACAGGAAGAGAAAGGGAAAGCAGGAGTCCCTGAGGAGGGATTGGCTACCCAAGGAGTTATTCCAGAATACTTTCATATGTGGAAACTCTTATTCCAGAAAAAGGGTACCTTGATCCTGTATAGTCCAATCCATCTTTGGTCTGGTCTATACTACCCGCCTGAATCGGCGGGTAGAAATCGACCTCTCGGGGATCGATTTATCGCGTCCCGTCGGGACGCGACAATCGATCCCCGAATCGGCGCTCTAATTCCACCAGCGGAGGTGGTAGTAAGCGCCGCTGACAAAAAGCCGCAGAAGTCGATTTTGCCGCCGTCCTCACAACGGGGTAAGTCGGCTGTGATACGTCGAATTCAGCTACGCTATTCACGTAGCTGAATTTGCGTATCTTAAATCGACTCCCCCCTGTAGTGTAGATGTACCCTTTGAAAATGGCTTAAGCTAAACAGGAACAAGGAGGCACTCTTCTCTGGCATAACAGTGTCCACATAAAGAGTTATTCTGGAATAGTCTTTCAAATCACTCCCTGTCTTAATCCCAATTAACTTTCAAGTGTAGAGAAGCCCTGATGAGTCTGCCCGGCCCCAATTTAACCCATCCCAGCTGCTCCCCAGACCCCAACAACCCAACCCAGCTCCCCACCTCCACCTGCCATTCACTCACCCATCCCCCTCTGATATCCCCTCCCAACTGCCATAGAATTCTCCGGAACTTTTAAGGTCCCTTCCAGCCCTACATTTCTATGATTGTACAATGCATTCCCCAAATAAACCTCTCTCAAAGCACAGGACTCCTTGTTGCCCATATCAATGACAGGGTCAAGCCACGGTGGCAGGGGATGGGGCAGGGACTGTCTAGCTATTGATTGCAATCTCCATGGGGACATGGGAGATTAGGAGGAGAGTGATTTCATCCCTTTTTCCTCTAATTATCAATGATTGTTGGAAAATCTTAATTTTCCCCTCAGATTTTGCCATTTCTCTCTAATTTTTGAATATTGATAGAAAAACCCCTCATAGACTTTAAGGCCAGAAGGGACCATCGTGATCATCTAGTCTGACTTCCTGTACATTGTAGGCCACAAACCTCCCCCAGCTGCTCCTGTAATAGAACCTTAACCTCTGGCTGAATTACTGAAGGCCTCAAATCAGGGTTTAAAGACTTCAAGTTACAGAGAATTCACCATTTACACTAGTTTAAACCAGCAAGTGACCCATGCCCCATGCTGCAGAGGAAGGCAAAAAACAAAAACAAAACCCCAGGGTCTCTGCCAATCTGATCCGGAGGAAAATTCCTTCCCAACCCCAAATATGATGATCAGTTAGACCCTGAGCATGTGGGTAAGATCCACCAATCAGACACCTGGGAAAGAATTCTCCATAGTAACTTAGAGCCCTCCCATTCTGGCCATTGGGGATATTTGCTGCTAGCAGTTGCAGATTGCCTACATGTCATTGTAGGCAGTCTCATCATACCAATTCCTCCTCCAATTTATCAGTCTCAGTATTGAAGCCAGTTAGATTTTTTTGCCCCCACTGTTCCCTCTGGAAGGCTGTTCCAGAACTTCACTCCTCTGATGGTTAGAAAGCTTCACTTAAAGAAAAGTGAAAGCCAAAACTCGTTAATGGCCAGTTTATATCCATTTGTTCTTGTGTCCACACTGGTGCTCAACTTAAATACACTAGAACCTCAGAGTTACGAACACCAGAGTTATGAACTGACCAGTCAACCACTCAGCTCATTTGGAACTGGAAGTATGCAATCAAGCAGCAGAGACCCAAAAAAGAAGCTAATACTGTACAGTACAGTACTGTGTTAAATGTAAACTACCAAAAAAAAAAAAAAAAAGGGAAAGTTTAAAAGAAAGATTTGACAAGTAAACTCTTTCTGTGCTTGTTTCATTTAAATTAAGATGGTTAAGGCAGCATTTTTCTTCTGCATAATAAATTTTCAAAGCTGTAATAAGTCAATGTTCAGTTGTAGACTTTTGAAAAAACAACCATAATGTTTTGTTCAGAGTTATGAACAACCTCTGTTCCCGAGGTGTTCGTAACCCTGAGTTTCTACTGTAACTTCTCTCTCTCCCTGGTATTTATCCCTCTGATGTATTTATAGAGAGCAATCATATCTCCCCTCAGCCTTCTTTTGGTTAGGTTAAACTCTTTGAGTCTCGTCTCATAAGATAGATTTTCCATTCCTCGGATCAGCCTAGTAGCCATTCTCTGCACCTGTTCCAGTTTGAATTCATCTTTCTTAAACATGAGAGACCAGAACTGCACACAGTATTCCAGATAATGTCTCACCAGTGCCTTGTATGATGGTACTTCCCTGTCTCTACTGCAAATACCTCACCTGATGCATTCTAGCACCTCATTAGCTTTTTCATGGCCACATCACATTGGTGGCTCATAGTCATCATGTGATCAACCAACACAACTAGGTCTTTCTCCTCTTCTGTCACTTCCAGCTGATATGTTTCCCGTTTATAGTAAAAATTCTTGTTGTTAGTCCCTAAATGCATGACTTTGTACTATTAAATTCCATCCCATTTCTTTTACTCCCATTTTCAAGATCATCCAGATCTTCTTGTATGATATTCTGGTTCTCCTCCTTATTGGTAATACCTCTCAATCTTGAGTCATCTGCAAATTTTATTAGCTCACTCCCAATTTTTGTGTCAAGGTCAGTAATAAAAATGTTAAATAAGATTGGTCCCAAGACCAATCCCATAGGAACTCCACTAGTAACCTCCCTCCAGCCTCCCAGTTCACCTTTCAGTATGACCCACTGTAGTCTCCCCTTTAACCAGTTCCTTATCCACCTTTCAGTTCTCATAGTAATCCCCATCTTCTCCAATTTAACTAATAATTTCCCATGTGGAACTATATCAACGCCTTACTGAAATCCAGGTAGATTAAATCTATTGCATCTCCTTTGTCTAAAAAAATCAGTTATCTTCTCAAAGAAAGAGATCAGGTCAGTCTGGCATGATCTACCCTTTGTAAAACCATGTTGTGGTTTATCCCAACTACCTTTAAGCTCTATGTGTTTAACTACTTTCTCTTTCAAAATTTGTTCCAAGACCTTGCATACAACTGAGGTCAAACTAACAGGCCTGTTGTTTCCCGGATCACCTTTTTTTCCCTTTCTTAAAAATAGATACTATATTTGCAATTCTCCAGTCATAGGGTACCACCCCCGGGTTTATAGGTTCATTACAAATCCTTGCTATTGGGCTTGTAATTTCATGTGTCAGTTCCTTTAATATTCTTGGATGGCAATTATACGGG